CTAGTCTCATTTCATCACATCACTAGTTGGTGTACAAAAATCGAAATGATCGAGAAAACTAGACCTTTCGAAATCATTGAACCCGCACACTGAAGAATTGTGTAGACGTCATGGATTAAGAAGGCTTTATATTAATGTTATCATCATTTCATATCGTAGTTACAAAACTTACAGTAGTTGCTTTTCAAAATTCTGAAACATTTTCAGGAATCGACTAAATGGCGACGTCAATAAACTACTCATTCATGATTATCTATGACAGAAAGATTAGTTTTATATTTTTTCAAATCAATTTCTCTCTGTCTAATAGACAAGATAAATTGTTTCCTGTTCATACAAAATATAATCTCATTAAAACAAGGCAAATATAATTTTCAAGAAAAAAACATTAAACTCAATCACTCCAGATAAATCGAATAATTTCAAAATGATTTACAAAGTACACGTTTACAAACTTGTTTCTGTTAGACCTACTAACACTACATGGCTACTGAAACCGAAGTGGACGAAGAGAGATTCGAACCTGCGACCAACTAGTCAATAGATTAGTACGTCAACCGTCACTTTATAAATCATGGATTGTTATCGTTAATCTAAATGATGTTACATCAAGCGAGTCTAGAAATTAGGCTGTGATTATGCTATGTCAGAATTAATCTTATTCAAGATCTTTATCATACAACGTATGTATAATGGTTTTGTTTTCAATGACCAATGCTATCTGTTTTTGGTTTGCGAGCAAATGGAGAGAATTCACAAAATAAATGAATTCATGGTTTGCTGCTACAAACTTTGCTCTATTCGATTTAAAGCAATAAAGAGCTGGAAAATTCAATGAAATTTCTTTCTTTAGTCTGCTTATAACCGAACACTTTCCATATACGTCACACAAATACAATGTCATGTTGAACTGAAAGTTTTATGCAATTGGCATCAATGGTCTGAGATAATATGTATGTCTTAGTAATTATGTGTTTTCATATAAATCCCTGCCTTTCGTATTGCTCAGAAGCGTACTAGTATAAAATCATTCAAAAACGTTAACCATTAACAGCAGCATGAATAGTTTGACCAATAAGGTATAAGTCTTCCTGATTACATATCAATGGTTATAAGTGAAAATGACCGGAATCTAAAATGTCTAACTGAAAGATCGATTCCAGAGAGACCACATTCTATGCGGAGGTAGCCCAGTAGGCGGCTAACGCAAGCACTATCAAACTGCCAGGAGCAACAGAAATATTCATTTGGTCCAGGTCACAGTTTATATGTTCTTGTGTCGGTTGGTGAAGACACATCTATTAGTACCAATGAGTAATTTACGACTTCGTTCGATTTCAGCATTAAAATTTCCTAAACAATCTTAATTTACTCCCATATAGCTGGCTAGGTGAACATGAGTAAATCTGTTTTTGATTGGATTAAACTGTGAGATCTTAATGAAATGCATCAAACCTGATAGTGTAATCCAAGAAGTTCGTTTCATAGTTTTTTGGAAGTGTCAGTTCAATGAACTTATACCAATGCTGATTTTTGTGGTCAATATTCAGGAATTTAACTTGATAATATTTCAACTTTAAAATTATTGCTTCATTTCTAATTTATCTCTTTTTTTAATCAGGTATCCATTTTAATGATTATTATACACACACATTAGATTTTGCTTGTTTGATAAAATTTGTCTGTTTTTTTTAACTGTAGAACACCTTTACAGAATATGTACTGTTGATGGATGATTTTAGCAATGTTTTCGATTTGTATTTCCGCCCTGCTGTGTGAAGTGGATGATTTGTTGTTTGTTTACTTTTATCGTTCAAATAAATCAATGAAAATGATAAACAACCTTTTCTGCCAAAGTAAACATTATTATTATTATTATTATCATTACTGTCTACTTTACCTTATTAGTTTAATTCATTTAGGCTTAATTGAAAATGTTGTTAGTTTATTTAGTGTTTACAAAATAAGCATGAATGAATGATGATTCGAAGACACGTTCATTAGTGGCTTGTTTTTTATACCGTGAAATATGCCTTTTAAGTTGCCAATCAGAAATAAGATGGTTTACTTTTAATAGTTAAAAATTATAATAGCATCACTTGAATACATTCAGTCAATAAGCCTTGTGCAAGATATATTTACGTTTAAATCATAGAACTAAATAATAACTGTGATTATGTCCTATTTAAAATATCAATAAGACTTTAAGCGGATAACCATTTCCTTTTTCGAAAAAATCTACTCTGGAATTTCATGGAAAATAAGATAACCTTCAATAGATAATTATTTATTACTTGACACTTCTTAACAATTTATGTACACACAAGTTGATATTGGAATTGAAGACACCGTTAATCAATTTTTGCAAGAAACATGATAACATTCAGTCGTTAAGATCGAATCTAATAGTTCAACTTGAGAAAATCTTTTAGTAAATTTAGTCTGAATATCATCTTATGTCGCTGATGGGTAACTGTTATACTTAAAAAAACCTAGTGACTTCAACTAGATAACTCGTGTACAACTTATTCTGAAACAAATTTTTCTCTATTTCTCAGAAATGTTACATAATGTTGTAAACGTAGACTGAATACATACACAGTTTGGTGCATACCTGTGAATATAAAGTAGGTAGGATAAATGGTATGGATAACATCGTAATCAATTTATTCAACTACCCAATAATCAGAAAATGATCAAAACTAGCTACCACAACTAAACAGAACAACAACAAACAATATTTATATAAATTAAAAACAGATATTCATTCACATTCAGAAGATTGTGAAATACCAACCATCAATTGATTTTAATGTCAGACATTTTCTAACTAAAATTTATGTCTAATCCAGATACACTTCTGGTAAATAAAAAGATTATGAGAGAATAATGTGCACATGATTTACTAGAATAGGTAAACGTGTTTGATTGAAATTATTTTCTGCATATAGCCACCAAACAAAATATGATAATGATTAGGATGAAAACAGATTTTCTGTGAATATGTTTGTGTCATATTATTATTATTACTATTATCATGGCGTACAGACTATCAGTTTAGTGGAGACAGGAGTTGATGCTTGTAGATATCCGACAAATCTGTCAACAGATGTGGTTATTTTTAAAAATTCAGACAATTATTTTGCTGTACAGGTCGATGAATTAAAAGCATCTTAATATTATGGGAACATAATATTTTAGGGAAACAGTTGTTGAGTTACCAATCAGTGATATGCAATTACAGACAAAGAAAAGTAGTTAACTTTGTATTTGTCAACACTAGTCAATATAATATTAAAAAATTCATTTTTTTCTCGTTGAATCCTTTTTTATGAACGATTTGTTTAGTTAATATTCACATCTGATTCGATACATCGATAAGGCTATTTTATGTGAAGTTATGGGATATTTAAATCGCGTAAAGCCAAACAATTCAAGACGCAAGTTTTGTCCGTCTCAGGATAAGTCAGCTAGATGCACATGTATTCCAATGTTGATGCAAATAGGGAAACTCGAACTTAGTGCATATCTCATCAAAAACTGATGCTATCCACAAAGGTATTGAACCCAGATATCTACAACTGGATGATATAAACATCCTATGCGTTGAACAATTTGTCTGAGTCCTTTTTTATTCAAATCGCCGTGCTCAAACCTGGATATTAAGGTGAATGTAAGGTTCTAAAAAAATTCACGTTTATATGATGTGGAATAGTTTTGTAAACCTGAAAACGAACTAGTCATTGTCCTCAAATCTTTGGATAATCTCATAATCATAACCAAACATATATTGTTGTATTTCATGAAAAAAAGTAGGTATTTTGATGGGCCATATATGTTATTCTCATTTGATATGTGACAATACAATTTTCGCTGTTATATTATCATTGCTACATCCTAATAATCAAAGATGCTCTCAACAGATTCAACCAATTCCTACATCACTATATTCTATTTTCAATAAAACCGACGACTCAGAGATGAAAATGTAACTATGATCGAAAAAAAAGACACGTTTATATTCTCATTCATAATCTGGTGTTACATTTATGCATTCGAATAAATAATTATAAAGTTAAATAGGGGGGAAGGAAATCTTTTCTCTAACGCAAAAAAAACAGAAGTATCTAGGACGGTAGGTATATGTGAAAATAACAAAAAAGCAAATGGATTTTTTTCAAGGGGGAAATTAGTTATAGAACAGCATGAAATGAAAAAGAATTAAATCACTTTTATCGTAATCAAACACTATAAATATAGATATATATATATGTATATAAATAGGTTTTCTCTTTTGAATTATCATGATTATTATTACTATTACTATTATTGTTTATCTTATAAAATGATAAATCAACACGAATTCATAGCACAAATTGAAACATCATTTAATAATCTGTTGCCCAAGTATACAAAATATCAATAATGCGGATTTTTTTTGTATATATCTCAGTAAATCAGATGGCAGAGATAATGTGAAATAACACCACAATTGGTGGGTTACACAGATAAATGACTAGAATACTGACTGTAGGTTTTATATTATTGCGGACAATCTTCTTGTTATGTACTTGGTATTTGCTTTTTTTTTGAAAAAAAAAGTATTCCGTATTTTATTTTTAAAAAAATATCAACATGTTCATGTGAAGAAATGATGTATAAACATACTATTTTATCTATTGTGGTGTATATACAATTCGAAAAGTTAAGAAAAAAATACATGCAGTTTGTATTCTTAAAAAAACAAGCAACTCATTATTTAATCAGTAATAAATAAATGAAACAAATGAATTTTTTCTTGTATGTGCCTTTCTTTTTTACATTTATGAAGTAAACAAACATGCACACACATTATGCAATGCATCACATCACATCACATCATACTCAAACGTACTTTGTGATCTATGTACTAAAATTTACATGATCAACTGCGGGGGGGGGGGGGAGAAATGGTATTTTTTTTTTTCTATTTTGAAAGGAATAAATGATGAAGAGAAGAATTAGGTAGACAATTTAAGAAATAAATTAGACTTTTTATCATTATCATCGTCTGCTTCATCATTGTCAACATCAAGACGATCACTAGTTGATGGCGTCATCATTGATGTTGTTGTTAGCGGGGATGATAAACCTGTCGGCGGTGGATTAGCACTATTGACATGATGTGTTTGTGGCATAGTAGAAAGTAGATGAGTTGCATCATGCAGTGTTTTCTGTTGAGATGAAGAGAAAAAAAAAAGAGAAAATCAGCAAGAAATAACACGAACTGACGAAAGCATTGTGATCAAACAGTTAAGTGTTTGATACCAGACTTAGAAATCCTAAAATCGATCTGTACACGTTGGTAGGTGCGTTCTAATAGGAAATCTCATACGACGCTAAAATAGCTTCTCAGTCCTATGTCGTTTAAATCTGTACGATGAGATCAATTTATGAAAATCGCTAAAAAAAATTATCATAAGTTGATAATATGCTAATGAAAATTCGTACGTGTATCACCTCCAGAAGTATTTTTCATGATATTATATGCCTGGATCCTTGAGTATTGTGATACATAGATACAAATATTGGCGACAATTAAAGTCCCTTGTATTCGTAATATAAATCAAACTGTTCGGACTCTATCAATCAATAACCTGTCACTTTAAACAAGAGCTAACTGAACTCAATAGCCAGGTAACTAACAGCTTTCAGATTATACTTTTTGTGTCAGGACTAATGATACACACTGATAATTAAAATTGGAGCAAACGTAGGGTATTTTGAAATTGAAGTCTATTGACCTACAGTTCAACTCAGCTACCAAATCAATCATCCATACATAAAAATCTATTACGTATTATGATCTTAGAAACAAGTAGAAAAATGAGTTATCCAAACAATTCAGGCGTCTATTGGTAAAATTCGTGATTAAAAGATAAGCATGATGTACACTGAACTACTTTTCACGACCTTCTACCAGAAAGAACTCTTCACAAAGTAAGCAGCGTTGAAGGAAGATTTCCTATAAATTCGCCTATGATAAACAGTTTTTATCCCAACCAAATACATAGCGAACCAGTTTCCGTTACGAGGGATTTGTTTACGTTGATTAAAAACTCTAGAATGGGCAGAATTATGTGCTGAATTATAATTAAATTAATTGAAGTACTGTATAAACAAACCACTGCTCAGCAATAGCAATATGTTTGGTGTAGTGCGACTTGCTAATCAATCAGAGTTTAGCTTTCATTTAGATACTCAGCTTAAAGCAATGTCTTTCTGTGAGAAAAAAGCGCTCAGATGAATTGAGTAGGTAGAGCAAGCTTCGAACATCAAAACATCGAATTCACTAATCTTTCCACATACGACCTATTAAATAACTATTTTAAAATATGAAAAAAAATAATCTTAAAGAGATGATTATTGTGAAATACATTAATAATGAAATAAAACCGTGTGATAAAGTCTAAAATCAATAACAAGTAAACTTTTGATCTAACCTGGGCTGATACTGTACGTTGAAAACCAGTTGATGTTTCATTATATTCATTGGAAGCTTGATGAAAACTATTTGACAAATGAGAACCAATTTTTTGACTGGTTGTAAAACCTTGAGTTTAGCAAAATAAAATCATATGATAAAACAAATCATAAATTAAGATTTAATTTTAATGAGAAAAAAAATTATTCGTTAAAACAGGGTGGTTAATGGTAGGGTATATTTTTCTCATTTCTTTTAAGAATTACGAATAACACTGAAAAGGAATGCAGCACTTACGGTTTCTTAAACTTAGATAAATTTATGTGTCTATGAGTAAATAAACCATCAAGGAAATCCTTAATCATTGTTGTTGACTAGAGGTGATAAAGAAATTTACACAGCTACGCAGTCTGATGTTGTATATTGTTGCTACAACAATATCCATTGGATAGTTCAAATGATATTTTGGGATTATTAAGAATAATAATAAGTAATAACTATTTAATTTCGAAAAAATAGTTGTATCTGTTATTCAAATGATGATCATTCCTAGGTATACAGGGCAAGTGAATTCTTCTTTCAAAAAAATTAATCCTGCTTAATGAGAGGATGGAAGTAATCGATAATTTATATCTAAAAACATATCGATCAAAACATACTTTGCATATCCACTAATCTCATTATGCCTTTCTTACAAAACAAACTAGAAAAAGGACAATAAGAATTTTGTACAAACAGAAAAATGTTAAAAAATTTTGAGGAATATTTATATCATTAAGTATTAGTACAGAGCAATTCAAGCGTATCTTGAAACATTTAGTAATACATGTTTTTATGCATGTCGCGAAAAGAGAATGAATGTTTAGCGATATGAAAATTCTGTACAATTTAAGAATTATAATTTAATGATTGCAACAGTCGAAAAGATGTTTATTTGAAATTCAAAGATGAAATGAAGATAAGATAAAACATGAAAACAGAATTTATTTTGACTTGTTGTTGAATGCATGATCTCCAATCCATTTTCGATATGATATATGATAGTTGAGAAACTTATATGCTCGCCAACTGATAAGCTTGAAACTATTACGAGTTCACATTACTCGCTAAACGGAGCAAAGACAAATGATGCAGTGACACGATAGACTATTTTAATCCGTTTTCGCTCGACCTTTTCAACTGAAACAAGAACTCTTGATTGGACGCAGAGAATGTATTCTACAGGCACCCAAAAAGATTGAGGTTGTTAGGCACACAAATCAAGCTTATTTATACAATGATAGCAATGTCTTTGGGAGAGCCACAAAATAGCGTACTAAAATAATCTATCAACCAATGACAATCAAGGATGTTTTGAGTGGGAAATATAAGCTGAAGGTCAAATAAGCGACTTATGCGCAAAAACATAGAAAAATTCAAAATAGTACCAAGAATATAAACATATATATATATATATATATATCATTATTAAATATTTCGTTCACTAACCTGTTGGAATATCGATATAAATCCCTCCTGAATCATTATGTATCACATCTCTACGATTATCCACGCTATCATTAAGATAATGTGAACTAGGCAGATCAAGTGAATTTTTACGACTCGAATGTTCATCTGTGGTAGAGTCCATAAGATTTTTCAACCATTTTACAATAGGCTCCCATTTATTTGGATAACGTGATAAATAATTTACTACAGCAGTATTTTGAGTTGATAATTCAACAATGAATTTAGTACACTGATAAGCACGTCGAGGATCACGACTATAGTCTGCATGAATTAAATCTATGGAAGAATATTAATGATAAATATTTCACTTTGAATTATGAATATGTCAGTATATATATATATATATATATATATATATATATATATATATATATATATATCATTATTGGAATAATATTTCACTACAATGTAATTTATAACGAATAGAGAGAGAAAGAGAGAAACAAAAAGGCAATATGTACAAAACTAACTAAGGAATAATTAAAAAATATTAAAGTGATCATCACTGATGGTTATAATATCATTATTAGAAAATATAAACAATAAGACGACTCCGTTAGTCAAATGAATATTCTATTTCAAAAATAAACTATCTTACAGTGAAAATATTTTAAAAATAGGAAAATTTAGACTAGGTGGAATTACTATATAAACAAAAATGGGCAGAAATACATTCATCATGTACAGATTTAATGCCTGTGACTTTGGAGTTAGCTTTATTGAAAAATGAGCGATAATAACGGGTTGACTAGATTGAAGTGGATGGAGTTAGACATGTCGGAAATTCTAGACTACATGGTTTTGGGGTCCGCGAGATGATTATAATAGATGGTTAGAGACCTTGAATGATATGGCTCAGAATCGTTTGCAATGGCACAGGTACATTCACTCGTTCTGTTTTATAAAATTCTAACCTTCTGAATTCCTCATCGTCCCTATCTTTCTCTGTTTAAATTTATTTCACTGAATTATACGTACATACGAAGTTCTAAGTTGTAACTAACTGACTGATATACACAAGATATGAAAATTTAACAATTTTAAATATTTGGATGCCGGCCCAGTGGTCCGATGGTAAGGCGTTCGCCTACAATGCCAAAGGTCCCGGGTTCGAATCCTGCGAGGAGCAGGAGTCGTGGATGCGCACTGCTGAGGAGTCCCATACTAGGACGAAACGGCCGTCCAGTGCTTCCAGGTTTCTAATGGTGGTCTAACAATGATGATTGATTAATGATTTCAAATGTGTAAAGAAAAATTTACTTTGACACATACTTTCTGCCAATATATCTCATAAAATAATCTATTCATGTGTAATCACATGGTATTGTACAGTGTAGATAAAAGTGCAACTTAACATGGTTTAAACCTTCAAGACAGATGTTTTAAACTAGGCTACAGAGTGTAGCTTGCATATATATATATATATATATATATATATATATATATATATATATGTATATATGGTATTGATTGCCTAATACTGTTAAATAATCAAGATAACGTATGAGCAGAAAAGGTGAGCATTCTTGGTTACATCTATAGGACTATTGATGAATCGAATTATTAATCACTTTAAACATATTTATTAGTTATCGAAAGGATTAAACAAATAGATGGAATAAATAATTAGAAGAAATTTCAGTATTCGTGTAATAGTTTTTTAATATACATATATATATATACCGCTTTCTTGTATATTTATATTTGCCACATTACAAATACTTTGATGTTCTGCTGTTTGTTTAAGTTCAAAAAAGAAACACTTTTGAAATATGTATTTGAAAAAAGTTATATAAACCTATTTTCCTAAAAAATAAAATAAAGTTGGATAGAAAACACAAAAGCAACGAAACTGAAATAAATTGTCGGCAACCGCCTACTTTAACATAAAATAAATGGTTGTCTAGATTCGACAGGGAAAACGCATATGATAGCTCAATTAAATCGCTTTATAAGAGGTTTTGTCGTAATCGGTTATAAATTGAAGCTGTGAGTAAGATGGGTCATGTACAACCACAGATGAGTATTTTACACCATTTCGGATGTAGGCAGTAACCAACAAAGACAAATGGGTGAGGTCGCGCAGAATCTGAAGATTGACCGGAGTTAGACAGTAACACCGTTCGATATCGGCCTAGTGGTCCAGAGGTTAGGCGTCCACGCGCAAGACCGAAAGTCCTGAGTTCAAATCCTGCGAGGTGCAGGAGTCATGGATATGCACTGTTGATGAGTCCCACACCAGGATGAAACACCTATCTGATGCTTCCAGGTTTCTAATCGTGGCCTAACAATGATTGATTGATTGACTGATTGATGATACTAATATGTGAAAACATTCAATCTTCATGATTTACAAATTTCTCAACTATAACATTAGTTGATATTTTTTTAATTACTCATTTACCTTATCAAACTATACTCGGTACATTTAGTTGTGCTCTTCATTGATTACTAACAGTTTGAACATCTAAATGGATGCTTTCAATTACTTAGTACTCGATTAGTGTGATGATATAAAATGTGTTAATTTATATTAATGATAAGATTTAAGAATAAATTTTGGGTCATATATCAATGCTGATTGATTGACAATTAAATTCATATCCTGATTATTGTTTTTAGAAAGAATTAATTTCAATAAATGTACTATAAAATGATATTTCATAAGAACAAACTACTGAACTAATGTTTATTATTATGAAAAATAATTTTATCACTAAAATAAGCATTGAAACACTAGAAAATAACCTAGCTATTATGAAGAAAAAACCAAAGGATTCAACATCTAATTATGTCTAACAAAATAAAATGCTCAGATCAAGATGCAAGATACATCAGAAAAGAAAACGTCTCGAGAGCTCAAGTTCAGATAGAATAAACATCGTGGAGCTATAGTTCAATCACTGAGAAATTCAACAAAGCTTGATAACAATGGAAAATCTTAAGTCTGTATGACTACGCCAAAAGACTGACTTTTGCTACATTGAAATCGTGCCTGGAACTTTTAGAAATCATAAAGACTGTATATCACAAACCAGAAGTATTTCATTTGAAATGAAATTCAAATCATTTGAATAGGAAAAAAAACAGAGGTCAAGAGAAAAAAAAGGATAAACTGATATTCAACAGCCCGTCTCGCCTAATTTCATTATGGTCCAATGTAGATGTGGTAAATAAAGACTTTTCATTACATGAATAGTGCATGTTTTATATTGATGATTTGTATATATGTCAAATGTAACAATCTATGCTTGTCTATCATCCTTATCAAATTCATTTACAGTATGACACACAAAAAAACTACTTTAAATAAAATAAGTTCATTTGAGTGATTATATCTATATGAGCTATTTTTTTAAATTTTGGTCTTCTGCTCTTTTTGACATAATTGTTGGCAGTAAACAGAGTAAACACAATTTGGTTTTTTCACCCATCATCAAATAAAATTTTCTAATAATGATAAATACTGTTAAAAAATGTTACTATTCAATAGAATCCGATACTAAGACATCTATAAACGTAAGAGAACTTAAAAAGAAACCTAACATGTTATTCAAAAAAACACTTACCCAAAAGACCAAGAACTTCAGGAGGTCCGTATTGATTGGCAGCTGGATTCACATCTCGCGTATCCACATGATCAGATTTATCATTTTTATCATCGTTATTATTTATTTCTATTTTATTCCATGCCCATAATTGTTGATCTCCATTGGGACGTGGTGCCCAAATCCATTTATCATTATTATTATTATTATCATTATCTTTATAAATTTTTTGATTCACTAATCCTGCAATCACTGCTATAATTCTAGCTGGTTGAATACAGTCGGTAAGATGTAAAAGTTCATTTAATAGATCAAAGTATTGTCTTAATTCACATTGTGGTCGATTGCGTATGCGATCAAGTAACTTGAAAAATAACAATAATCAATAAAAAGTAAGGTAAAAATTTCACGAGATAACAAATAACAAATTTCATATTCATATAAAACAAACCATCACTACATATCATCCAGTTGGTAATCTTTTGAAAAGCAAAAAGCAAAAAACACAATTGAATTTTACAACACTTACATATATAATGAAGCATTGTGATGTATCCCATGAATTTCCTGCTATATGCAACATTAATTCACGTATACGTTGTCTAAGAGATACAGATTCATTTCCAACAATATTCGGTAGTTCATTGGAATTCAATCCTGTTGTTGCATTAATACAACTTGTTGAATTGATGATTTTAGACGCACTACCACAATTCAAATTGCCTTTTTCATCAAGACCAAGTGAAGTTAAATTTAGTACAATAGGATTTTCTAAGTATGCTTTTAAAAGAATTTCACATAATCTATAGAGTCCGACAAGGTGAGTAGAAGAATAATAATGATAATCATCAGTTTTATTGGATGTATCTGTTTTATTACTGACTTGTTTGATATCATGATTTATTAATAAAGGTGGCATAGATAAACCAAGCCATAGTACTGTTTCTTTTTGTGGTCGAAGTAATAAACGACTTTGTGTTGTTTGACGATACAATGATGGTTCATGTGCTGCTGTACCACTACTACTACTAATGTCATTCAGTGATTGCGGATCTAAAAGATTTAAAATAACAATAAGAGTTAAAAGTCCATAAGCTATTAGTCGATATGTGCCTGAAATATAATAATAATAATAATAATAATAATAATAATAATAATAATAATAATAATGAAGACTGGCTACTGACTTCAGTTTGGACTCAAAGTAGGAGAAAGAGAAAGGCTTACAGATAACGGATCAGTAGGAACTCAGTTTGAGTCGTCCCAATGTTAAAGGACCGGATCAGAAGTGTAATTAGTCAAACGAAATAGAGGACGTGAGATAGCGAAAATTCTAATTGCCATTCCGATATAAACCTCTATCCCAAAAAAAAATTTTTCTGACTTTCATTTCATAAATAATAATTCTATGTAATAGTCCATTAAAACTAATAATTTCGAAGTAATTCCCATTTTAAACTAATACTGCTCGTTAGAGAAATCATTACCACCTAAGTAATCATAGATAGAGTTATTTATTTATCGAATCGAAATCCTTAGAAACGGAATATGCACATTAAACTGGAGAAGTTGGAAACTAGCAGAATAGGTTACATAAGTCTATCAAAGGTTAATTGTTCAAACGTTTTCCATATTGTATCTGGTGCTCTAGGTATAAGTAATTCATTTCCAGACAACAGTTCAATTAAACATGATACTACATGATTAAACTATTTTCACCATCAATTACCGTTTTACTTAAACACATAATAAGATTCTTTACAAAATAGTGGATATTGTCATGTCATACAAAGGAATATTGGAATTAACAACTACAACAACGAAATAAGTAGAACAATGATTTTTGCACCTTCGAACAATTTAAAAATCAACATTTTTTTTTAATCCTCAGAGTACATTTGTTACAAATCCGACTAGCTTATTTAATCATTTATTTTGTATAAATCTAAATTACCAAATTGTTAAGAATTGACAGAAAACAATATATTCTTCATTCCATAACATATTGTATTTTCAGCCTACTTTATAATATTGCACATTACAACAGCTGGACAGAAATTAATAGCAATTTATCAAAGTCATTACACAGAAAAAAAAAGTAATAAAAATGAATTTAGAGGGAGAAAAAACGATCATGGGATATAAACCTGATATCAACCTAATCGATGATTTTTGCATTGTTGTATGTAGAGAACTAGACAATTTGTTAATTACATGTTAGCATGTCTCGGTAACACGTAAATGGAAGTGAAAATATCTTCAGTTTTTGAATTCATCATTTTCTACTTCAGAAAAATCATATTAATGACTTTTCTCATATTCCTACTCTTTAAAATCTGAACCAGGTAACCTTATGTAATTCACATAGCATGTCGAGAAACTGAGAACACTCACAGATAACAATGAATAATGGTCAAACTCTATCACATACAGAATAGAACTGTTAAATGGTTCTTGCTGTTATATTCATGCATCTCAATCCGAAAGGCTTTTAACGCAAACGAAAGTCCAATTTTTTGTGATCTTCAATGGTAATTTTACTAATAAAATTCCATAATGAAAATAGTTCATGATTACTTTACTTCCAGTGATAGTGATCGAAAAAAACAGGTGTGTAAACGAATAAACTAAACTCGAAATGAGAAAACAGATTATACAAATTCATTTTCTGAATGCTCATACACCGAAAAATATGTTCAATAAGAGTATGCAGGCAAAGTAAAACACATACCTAAAACCCTGTATGCATCAAACGATGTTTGAAGTAGTAGGATAGTAAGAAGATAATACAGATTACCCATTTCTCTATGTTGGATTGGACTCCATACACGTAACCGATGAGACTAAATGAAAGATAGGAAATAGAAAATAAACAACAGATCACTAGAATCGTTGATGAATGAAATGAAAGAAACAATTCATTTCTTTTTGAGATGAAAATAACGAGTAATCAAAACAAAACTCTGGTGATTATTTTTCAATCACGTGATTTATTTGCCATTGTACAAATTTGTGTATTCAAACTTGAATCATATGTTCATTGTGAACACCGTGTTCTTTATAATTTATTCGCGCAAGCTGGATGTAATGCTCGTCACTTTATATGCTTAAAACTATTACGAGTTCACCTCTACCGATAAATGAGAACGAGACAATGAACCAGTGACATGGTAGGCTACTCTGATCCGTTGCCCCAACCAACTAAAGAAAAAGTCTTGATATGGCGTAGAAAGTGTATTCTACAAACACCCAGCAAATACAATGATCTCAAGCACACAAGTCGTGTCTATTTACGCATTATAAAAACGTCCTTGGGAGTACCACAAAAATAGCGTACTGAAATAACACACCAACCAATCACAGTCAAGGATTTTCCTGGTGGGAGATGCGATCTCTAGGTCAGCTAATCAGCTCATGAATGAAATCTGAAATCAAGCGACTTCTGGAAATCTAACGTCCCAAACACTGGAATAGATGGAACCGGGTTCAACTCTGTGAATTAATGGATGGATAGTCGATTATCATAAACCAATGAGCCACTGCTCCAATGGGCATATAATAATTACTATATTATTGACAGTATTACTATTGACTAACTAGTTGTTTGAAAACAAACTATCTTGTAAACAAAAATAATAAGATAAATTGACATTTGTTGTCATGCAATTAATTCAACTGGAAAATAATAACCATCAATCAATAAATGTGAATGTGAACTTTAAAACAAAATACGAATTGAATCACATTCATTAATAAATTTTTTATTGTATGCTTATAAATTTGCTTGGATTATTGAAAAAAAAGTAACAAGTGTAATATCCATAAAATAAGAATATGATATCTCATTTACAAATAAGTTGGAAAAGTGAATCACTGATTCTACTGTTTTTTTTTTTTTAGAAAATCTCAAGGTCATGTTCATCGTGTGTTGAGATAACTTAGTGCTTTATGGGAAATCAAGGAGTAATTAATAATCGTTTAATACTAGTGGTATATGGCTTCATTGTTGCACTATTTAGATATCACACAAGAACATTCCTAGAGAATTAATGTCTTATGGTGAACATGATACTATTGGGTCATTGAGCCATAGTACAAATAACAGGATTTACGCACCTCAATCTATTTTACATCTAAAAAACTGTTATAAACGGTGAATTAACTATATAAATTCTGACATGGTTGACTCTTTGACCGTAATAGGAAATCTATCCCCCGTTATTTTATAGCTTACAGGGACTTCTTGAAGTAATTTCAGTTCGTAGCTAGAGTTATTCCCTAATGAAAATATTTTTCAAACTAACCCAAATTCATTGAATTAGAGAAATATAAGATAATGACATATGAATAAGGTTAGTAAATATATAACCTAAAATAAATTCACGGCTTATAATGGAAAATGAAAAAGCTATTAAAATTAATAAATAGTAAACTTCTTTTAGACGGAAGATACTCAGAATAAAACATGTATGATTTAGTTTATGATAATTAAATAAAGTCGATGGTTAAAAGTTATTCAAAATTATGAGAACGTGTAGTGTCAAAAATAGTTCGTTACATTGAATAGATAAATTATGATATTTCAATAAATATAAAAGTAACCATGGAAGCCTGAAAATAGGAATGGCTAAATATATATATAAGATTGTCAATGACAGTAAAATATAACGGAAGAAATTCTACACTTGCTTAAAATTCTACAGTATTACTATAAATTTTGAAGAAAATTAGGAACAACTTCTTAAAAATGGAACATACTACTCACAACATGATATTGAGTATTATAATGTCTATTTAGAGCTTTGGCCAAATAAACTGAATAGAATTATTTTGAAAACTCATAATCTCTTTTGTAGTTGTTGGTTTCGGAAAAATTGAAACAGTTGATTAAAAGATAAAGGATTGGTTACAGTGGAGATAGTAATTGTAAAGTAGAACCAACTGACCTCTAATCAGGAGAGAAGTTTAAATGAAGTAAGTGTTCGTCGGTCATTTAACTGATAATAATAACAATAATATTGTTTGATACAAATGATTCATTTAAACCTACCCAATTCGGTGCATTCCCAGTAAAAGATGCATTACAGACAGGCGATTGTTGATTGGAGTCAGATGAATTTATATTATCTGGTTCAATGAAAAAGTTCAATATTCGTTTGGTTGCTCCTAAATTAGATAAGTGTACCGTAGCATGTGGACACATTTCAGCATAACCACGAAGTAGACCGAATAAAGCACCGGCTTCTGTTAAATGTTCAACTATTTGTCCATTTTCAAATAAACCAAGTAGATAGTTAATTAAGCCAGTTAACGTACCATCAAGCTACAAAGGAATAAACATGATAGGCAAAAGAAATAAGTAATTTCTAGGTCAGACAATTCTAAATCAACACTGTGTGTAAATTAATTCACGATAGGATATTTGTTGACAGAAAAAGAATGATCGGAATATTGCGATTGGTAAATGTCATAAAAGTAATTATCAGATAATAGCAAATTGTCACAAGTATCTATATTTACATAGATACAAATCAAATTATTTCATGATTATCAACGAAATTATTAAACAGAAATGAACTAAATAGATAATAATTAATATGATTTACTCGACAAAGTAAGACTACACAATAAAATCGAAAATTATATCAAATTTAATCAGACTTAATATCTCATTTCGTTCTAGTAAGAGGAGAATACAGTGTCGAGCACCGAAGTTGTTGTTATAATAGGCACCTTCATTTTTGGAGCTATAAACCATGACTTTCAGTGAGACGTTATATTATAGTAACCTTTATCATATCAAACTCTAGAGATCGAGTCTTGTACATAGATAAACACAGTACAAAATCTAACTTACTATATTTGTTTCTTTGAAAGCATAAAATCCTTGTAATATTGCAAGAATCATATTTGCGGTTTGTTGACGTGCTACCGGTTTGGGATGCAAAAGCATCGAGACTCTGAAAATAACAATATGGCAAAAAAAATAATTTATATCACATTAACTTTCATACAGCGAGAAATTTTCTTAAACAGCTCCGTAAAAATGTTATCATAACATGAGTTTACGAGGTGGTTTTAGTTATTGTTGCTCATTTTGGACTATTATATTACAGTAACATCAAAATTACTTGTCTATTCCTACAGTGAGTTTCAAAGACATTTTGCAGTACGCATTATAATATTTCAACATGACTGTGTTCTTTGATGTGGAAATATACTTTTGTTAGTGAAATGTTTTCAACCTATTGACTAAATATTCATACATTCTCTGGATGAAGTGATAGTTTTTTCCCTAGTCTTAGTTGTTTTTAATGCTCCACTTCAAAATATCCATAACAGAGTACACTTATCAGTAGAAGAGAAAATATCTATATTCCTATAATGAGTGTTTCGAAAGGCATCTACGATAGACCTAATGTAAATAACATTGAAAATGATTAAGTACTTAAGATTGGGTAAATAAAAATTGAGCCAGAATTTTTGTTTGACATTATTGAATTCAGAAAAACAAAACAGCAGTAGATAAAGTTCCGTTTACAACATTATTAGGTGAACTTCTTTTACGGAAAACTTTATTCAAAGGAACATTGAGATTGATAAACACTTGTTAAGATTATTCATCAAATATATCCTAAGAGAATTATTTTTGGAAGTTTAATTCTATTGGTTAATAATATGGTCGTCCTAACTGTCAATGTCACTGACTTCAATGTTGTCTCCTATTAGACCTAACTGTATGAATACGCATTATCTGTAGAGCTTATGATTCCTTCACTCCTTCTGTACTCGACCCCATAAACAACTTTATCTAACGGTGTTGTGTTCTGATATATTGGAGATTCGGAAACAGTATTTGGGGTCGTACTGGTCAATCGGTAGGATTTCGAATAGCTACATAGCGTCATTATAACAAAAATCCACATCATTATTCTATGTCTTTATTCATTTACATCGGGCTAGACCAGATGGAGAAATAGTATAGAACGAAAGTGTTTCATTCGAAAGCTTATGTGATTAGATCAATGAAATTAAACTGTAATATATTTGGACTTGAATTTCATTTGAGGTATTGTCATAGATATCTGTCGTACTCTTTTATATGAAATAAAGCAGACTTAGTACCAAGGATTTCTTATTTTCAAAATTTATAATAAAAGAGGGGATTAGTGCCAATAAGTCATCATAACCATATATTGTATAGAGATAAAAAAAATTTATTCACCTGAATAACTTATTTTGGAAAGAATACAGTTTCCCCATATAAGCATACGCATATATAGAAAACGAAAATGAAACAAAACAACTTTTCAAAAGTAACTAACTTACAAACATGGCTGACTTGGACTGGTATACAAAAAATGCATCAAACAACGTGTTGCACTAGGATGTGTTGTAGCTAAACGAGTTAATAAGTTAAGTAAGTCAGAATCCAATTTTGCGATTAAATCTGTCACACTGCTCGTAGATAAACTACTCAATGATGAATCGTTTGATTTCAATGCAATATTGAGTTTCATACGAGAATGTAGGCATAGAAATGTATTGAACAAGAAATGGGATAATAATTTTGTACCGAGCACACCACGTTCCGGTTCTTCACGTAAACTACTGACATCAGACTGTAGTAAATAGTAAGAGATGAAGAAAAATCAAACAAACAATATTTTGTTAATTAGAAAATAAGCTACAAATGACATTATTCTCACCGGATAATCAGAGATGAAATTATATGGTGAATGACAGAAAACATGGAGAATTCTACAAATCACTGACAAAATCGATTTCTAGTTTTCAGAGGTTATTATTATTATTGTTACTAAACAAAAATCTAAAAATTTGAAAGCATATTTGCATTATAAACGATTAAAAAGCTTACTAGATACCATAACAGGTGAAGCACTTTAAAAATCATAATAGCAGTAATATTAAAACTCGTCCATATGATTTTAGTCTGATATAATTTAGGAACCTTCGGAAGCTTGAAGAGAGTTCTTGATCATGATCACACAACATAAACATTAATAGTATGTACAGACTATAAGGTCGATGTATTAATGCCTACAGATGATGATCTGATGGTTGTAACTTTATTCCTTTTTAACCACTTGTATAGACCATAGACATTCGAAGATATTTCTGTACTGGTTAGGACAGCATAAAAGATAGACTTTGAGAAATCCGAGAAAGACGCTTGAATATGCTCTGCAGTTACCCAGCACACTTAACGAGTAAATAGCATTTTAGATGTAATCTGTAACCGTATAGTATCAATTCGTGTAATTTAGCATTTATGTTATGCCATATTCACCGTGTGGTGGCATACTGAGAACTAGATATAGGTAATTTTGGCTTAAATTCTAACCATCCGGCATGGTATTTTAAAGTTCGCACAAAAATTCAAAATCAGTCATCCTTAATCTGATTAGTCCATCCATGATGCATGATACCACTGAACTTGCATGAAAGGATATTACATATACTCATGGTTGCACTGAATTACGATCTGCAATGATAGTCCATATGCTTTCTGTATTGCTCAGTGATCTGGTTAATTAAAATATCCACTTCTTATGATATACCCTAAACCCACTTGACAAATAAAAAGACTGAAGTGAGCAGGAGAGTACAATGCCACGTCAATCAGTAGTGCAATTCATTGGCACATATAATATTATTGTCCTAGTTTAGACATGGAAATGTAAACAGAGACTTTAAGTAGGAGCATAATCGTTTCCTCTAATTGAGTGTCTAATTTATAGTCTCTCACTTCGAGTTTGATCTTGAGATGATTGTAAGCATGGCAAAGTGATATCGATATACTTACAAAGCCTACCATTTCTATACAGTTCATTTTTATGTTCGTAGCTCGCATCACTAGGCCTAATGTCAACGAAGATTTACAAGAGTGCAAACACGCACATTCATAATGACATTTTAAATAATTTTTAACAGTTAGTCGTGAATCAAGTTAAGATATAAAAAAATTGAAGCAGTAAATGAATGAAAATAACAACGTGTGGCATAGTCGCTTACAAGTTGTCTTCTCTAAGTAAAGTTTTAAACTACAAAAGTATAAATTCCAAGATTAAAACTGTTATTTCAATTTTAATTAAGTCTAGTGAAATATCAACTCAATTAGGTTCAAAAAAAATATTCATTGAAGGCTTGAAAAAAAAAACTAGTTTATGTTGTAATATCCGCCAAAAGCAGGACTTACCAATATACCTTCACATAGTTCGCGTATAAATTCAAAATATTCATGGGAGTAAATATTTTGATCACGTAGAAATGTCATATTCTCTGTCCATATTTTTTGAGCAATACGTGTAGGCATTGGAATTGACTTCGCGATACTAGTACTACCAGTTGTAGCTACTGTTGAATCCGTTGTCTCAGTAGTTGTTGTTGCAATTTGTCCATCCATATTGGATGATGGATTGAGAACTTCTACTTCTTTCTGATCAATATCAATGGTTTGTGAATTAGATTCTAATAATATGAAAATATACATATATATAACTTATTAACTCATTTGTCGCTGTTTACTCAGAGATTTAAACCATATAACTCCATTCGAAAACATAAAAAAATTTATGTAAATAAAACTATGTATTTGTTAAATACCAATAATCTAGCATTCGTTATTAAGGTTATACAATTTCATCTACAAAGTTTATTATCCTTTCTAAAACAACTTTATTCGTCCTTCTAATCTTTATTACTACGGCAGTAGTAGTAGCATGACGCTTGACAATTAAGATAAACCGATGTTTCGCTATTATTATTATTATATCTTTAAGTATAGGATTGTGAAGATGGTTGAGTTGTAGTAAAATTCCGGACCGATCTAAGTTAGACCACCACTGAAAACCTGGAAGCACCGGACGGTGACTTCTTCTTAACACAAAACTCCTCAGCAGTGGGCCTTCACGACGCCACAAGAGGAGGTCATCAGTAGGACCTTCAGTTTCACGCGTGTACACTTGATGGCTGGACTTACTGAGTTGGCGTCCAAAGTTGCTTATGCTTAACTTCAATAAACGGCAAAGAAACGCGACCAGTATCAATCGTTTCTTATACTCAACACGGTTTAGCTCTACTAGTGATAGCTTATCACTAGAATCTTGTAAATTTCCTCCCAAAGCTAGTCACTATAGTAATTTGTGTTGTTCAACTTCTATTTTTAAAATTGTTGCATTTAACCATATGATACCAACAGAAATCAAAAGTCCGTAAAGTTTCCGACGTAGTTAATTAAGTATTTGAATATAAACTATGAATTAGACATAAATAATTTCGAAGAGCAGACCAACAAATAAATGGTATGATAATTTATATTTGGCTAAGAGTGATTGTTCTAAAGGTAATACATTCCAACTGTACTGATACTCTACTTAAATACTATTTCGTTTTAATTGTAACACCTTACTAAGCAGAGCATTGCGTAAACAGTTTGCCAATAGAATTAAAGATTGATTTTCAAACATGTAAGCAATCAAGGGATAAGTACATGAATCTCTCAATGTAGAAATAAACATTATCATTATCAATCTGTACATAAATGTGATAAACAAGTTTATAGTCTTAAAAGTTATTGTATTTGAATCATTATCACTAAAACGAGTGAAAAGTGGTTAATGCGGCAAAAACAAGGCGCAAAATTTAGTATGATGCCGTAAGTCCTTATGAGCTTGGAGCGGATTGATTGGGAGACGTGTTTCGGTTGTAAATTACAGAGCTAACGTATGCGGATTATATGTGATTATGCATTCTGTTGCTGGTTGCAAATTGCAAATTACAAGTCGTTATCATTATCCAAGAGACAAAACGTACTAGGAGAAGTATGATTCAATAGAAATACAAGTACAACAGAGATACAGTAAAAAATAAGTGCATTTTAATGTTTCATCATTGCACTTCCAATGAATTTAACACATTAAAATTGAATCAAGAGTCTTTTGTAACCAAAAAGCAACAACTTACCTTGTTTATTGCATTCAGTCATCATTTGAAGATTTTGTTGCTCTTTTTCACCGGTTATTTTTTCCATTTCTTCTACCTCCTTACTCATAGTGGAAGAAAAAGAGTTCATATCTACTCTTTCATAAAATAAAAGATATGCACTCCAATATCTGGTACGAGATTCAACAGTTCGTCCTAAATTTTTTAATCAATAATAATTCAATTAATCATCATATAATGTAAATTAACAAATCACAATCAATCATTAATTAAATGATAGTTCTTTTTGAAACTTTCTACAATAAATTGCCGAGAGAGGTAAGTTAATTTATTTAAAGAAGAATAATGAAGAGGATGATAACCATACAATGTTATGGCCAGTAGAATTGTAACGTTTTATGACCCAGATCCGGATTCCTAGTTCGGGATCCTGATTCTCTTCTGGACTCGGACCTCGTACTTTTTGGATGCCCGTAGAATACAGGTTCTACTTCATATCAAGTCTTCTTCTTTTACTCAATGGGGGTTAGGACAATCGGATTAGAGTAGCCTATCGTGTCGCTGGATCCTCGATCCTCACTCTGGTATTCCGACTAAGGTAGACTCGTGATAGTTTAAGCATATCAAATGACGTGTTTACGTGCATGCGTAACAAGAACAATACAATTGTTCAAGTAATTTTGCCATAGTAAATCCATAGTTTTGACAAGAATTTCGTTTAGTTATTACCACTATTATGATTACTATTATCATTAATACTAACAATATTATCATTCTTGTTATTTTTCCCATTATTATTGCAATTAAATTGTAGTGAAACCTTCACATTGGCCAAACACTCAAGTCATAATTCTTCAATAACTGCATCTAAACATGATGTTGAAAACATAGATAGGGTGAGGTAATTTTTTATTCAGAATTTCAACAAACACTATAATGACAATGAAGATTTAAGTCATTGCACTATTCATTCATCATCGTCTGACATTTTTAATCATACATTAAAAGAAATAGATTTTGTAAGCAGATATAAAAGGCAATTAATTATTAAGAAAGAAAATCAATGCATCCTATACTACTTGAATTGTTTGTTCTGTCTTTTTATTTAAAATTCACAAAAGCAAATTGCATGAAATTGTCTTGTTGAACAGTATTTCAAATTGTAAAATAGTTTAGTGTGAAACAATCATTCAAAATGTTGCCTTTAGTTTTATTGTTTTAAATGTTTAGCCAGAATCATTTCAATGTTTTGTAACAATGTTATTTTAGTTGGATTTTTTTTTTAAAGGCAGTTGTTAGTCAACAAATTCAACAACAATATTTGTTAGAATAATTTATGCAATGTTCTTGTTTGTCAAGAAAAGTAGGTTTTAAAAAAAAAATAAAAAAGATATTATAAAATATCACAAAGGAACATTTTAAACAGTTAACGTGCATAGTATGTAGGGATTAACGGAAAATATTTACATATGAACAATGGTTGTTGATCATGTCTGACTTTTATTCATGCATTTAGGGATAAAAATATTCAGAATGAAACAGATGAAGAAAAAATACACAAGAATGAATAGATGGGCTTTCAATATTGCACGATTATCGTTAGCATATGAAATATATAACAGCATCGTTAGACGAATCACTGAAATAATGTGAAAACAACTCTTACTTTCTTCATTTGCCTAATCTTGCTGAGAATATCATCCCGACCGTAGCTGCTACATTGAGATGGTGATCAGGGTTTCCAACCGAGATAATTCAGCCGAGAGATATTGGCTAGAACACATAATCATTTACATTCTACAATGTTAGGCAGGTCGGTTGCAGTATCAACTCAAGTTCTGGGGTTAAGACGTAATAGTGACTATACAGGGGTATTCAGTGGTCCACCGCGATCGGCCTCAAATAATTTTTCCCTTGAGCTCTAAGGTCACGCTCCCACGTTGCTGAAACCAACATTAACCCGGCTTTCTTTCCAAATCTTTCATGAAAAATACCATCCCATGAAGTGGGCAGTCGGGAGATGACATCCACCTTCATACCCTTAGACCAACTTGTTCATAATCTAGTCCTTCCTCCAGCTTTTATTGAATCTCTTATATCGACGACTAGAGCCCAGTGCAAACATTAATCACCTCGCACCGCAAATGTTATTCATCGTGTCCTGAAACCAAGCTCCAAACCACGTGTTGGAGCTTTTAAAGTTCGAACCAGGTGTAGGTGTACACTTCTACGGAGTGTCGAACTAGGCTGAGACAGCATTAAGCGGTGGTTTCGATTGGATAAGCAAGACAAGAGCCATTAAGGAACGATAAAATAATTAATGAGTTACATAAGAATTTCCATGAATCTTATGGAACAACTGATTTGTTACTGAATCATGTGATCATTAGTTTGTAGATTTGAACTCGGATTTAATCAGATAGTAAACTCCGTTAATGAGTAGTATTATTTTTTTTTTAGTTTAGCGACCGATCTGCATATTTTAATTGTACTAAAATTTACATTATTTCTACTGAAGCAACAGTTCTAGATACTGTTAAGTGTTTTGAATCCTATATGCTTAGTAAATAAAGTAAAATAATAAATTTGCACTCAGTACAATAGAATTAAATATGTATAAGTTTCCTATAGTGAGTGTTCTTATCAGGTTGGCATTTGTATTTCACTGATTGATAGTAAGAATAATAATAATGATAATATAAAAAAAATATTAAAATTTACAAAACACACCATCATTTCCAGCAACTTTATACGTTCCGCCAAAACATTCATGTTCAAGTAGTTCATCTGTCAATTCAATAGGTTCAACATATGTATCATTAAATCGATACCAACGTTCTGTATCTTGCATATATTGATGATTGTTAAGATTATTATCATTTTTATTAGTAGTAGAAGTAGACGTAGTAGTAGTATTTGTAAGGATAGGAGTAGAAGTATTTACTTGCAAGTTATCCACTTCATTTTTAGTTTCACTAATAGTCTCCAAATTAGATTTTAAAATATTTTGTATAAATTCATTAGAATGTTGATTGATCATTGATGAACTAAATAATTGTTCACTATTTTCATTAGCATTACATAAATTATAAATATCAATAAAAACAATTAAGGAAGAAATTGAGATGATTAACAATTCATTAAAATATATCATTAATAAAATAATGAAAATAGAACACTTTTTCGCATTATGAAGTAATGAGGCAGATCAATGATCATTTTAGAAGGACAACAGTTACAACTGTGACCATAACCACTAGGTAGTGTGTTACATAACAACATCATAAGCATTAAGTATGTCTTTACAAATACAAATCTATTCCCTACATACAAGCAATGAAATGTTAAGTTTATAGTTATCATCTAATGATTGTTTACAACCACTCTGCATCAGTTGAAAAAACCGATGGATGTTTTATCAAATGAATGAGAGAATTTGATAAACGATAAATTATAGAATTCATAAGATTTTAATTACTATTCAATGATGAATCAGTGTGTTCAAATAAAAGATTGTTCACTTGAATGTCTACAGCTATTTATTTCGCTTCCATGCTTGATTGTAACTGTATTTACAAGCACAACACTTGTTACTCTTCTAGATTTTAAAAAGCCTACTTAAAATTGGTGCTTAAAAAAATATTCATTAACCTAATAACTTATTGGAATTAGCTATATCACTGTTGTCATAACATATGAATTCCATAAACGGCTCAGAATCTGAGCTCGCCAATGTCTATTAATTTTTTACAGTTTTTTAATTCAATTATTTTCGTACTGGTAATTACTTAGAACAAATCTGTCCACATAATTCTCAATAATCTTTTAAATTTATTAAATTAAGGAGTGGGATTACCAGTAAGCCAACAAAAACTAATTGATCTCAGGCAACTAATACATTTTCGAATATCAAATTGCATCCACTCTTTATGTTCTCTTAAATTCTAATCTTCAGAATTCCTCATCATCTCTATATTTCCCTTCCTAAAGTTATCTCACTGAACTATACTTCTTGGAAAATCTGTTTGATCCCTAATATTCTCCACTAGTAATAATTGTTCCACTATCTCTACTACTATGGGATTTGAACTGACAGTTGCGTTTCTGTGCTAATGCGGTATGGCTACCTGAACCGACGTACGTACGTACAAAGTTCTACGTTGTAACTGACTGCATCATATGTTTAGTCGAATCATCAATGAAAATTTAAATATGCAGGTCTATTGTTTGATTGAGATCTACAGATAAACAATGTCATAAAGAGCTACTGATTACAGCATTAGGTTAAACGTTATTAGTTCTACGATTAAATCTCTAACAGGATGTATCAGTAACATTTTATCAAAACTTCAAGCAAATTAGCTTGTTAGTTTGTGTTCGCGATTAAAATTTGATTTAAAATTGCAATACGCTTGAACTGACATATTTTATTAGAGTTGAATTATAGCTAGGAGTGGAATGCAGTATATGTGTTTCGTTCTTTATTGGACTCGTCCAATGAATGTACCGACCGACCGACTTGGATCTAATACCTATAGGTTCAAACGCCAATATGCTATCTACTAATTGATGTACTTAAAAAGGTCTAAAGTTGCATCGTGAATTCCACTGCTAGTCGAAAGCAAATTACACATAAAAACTTATGACTGAACGGCAATATCAAGACAACCCACTCAGAATGCATATAAACCAACCAGTCGCAATGCTTAAGAGAAACACCAAATAAATACAAATCCTTATTGTTGAATATTAATCGCTAATTCATGTTCCGATTCACAGACTGTTAGACAGAAAGTATGTAACATATTTGCACAAAATAAGATAACAACAAAAAAAAACAACATAAACTAACTTTCTACAACCACGACGATCTTTAATAAATGAATAATAATGACCAGAATTAGCTTGGCCTGAATGAATAACAATACCAACAAGTCTGTATAAATTTTCATGCTTTTTTTGATCAGCTGATGATGTTGGCGATAAAGATATATTTAAAGTTGATGTAGTATCACTTGTTAATGTTTTGTCTGAATTCACATTTGTCAGCTCATCAACACAATTATCATTAGTTGAAGTGATTATTGTATCTGAGGCATTGAATAAATGCTCTGTGGAATCAGTTGGAGATGATGGTGGAGAATTGGAAAATGTCACAGGATTTTCTACAGTTTCTATAGTAGTTTTATCAGTGATATCGTTCTTAAGTAAGAGAAATAGAAATTGAATCAAGAAAATATGCATAAGATATGAAATATCCAAGTTATGTTAAAGTTTATGCTGATATATATGTATATATGTATATATAAAGGTAGAGAAAAATGTTACACTGTAATTTCTATTTTCATTTAAATTACATTAACGCTAAGTGTAAAACAATCATGAATTAATAGACTAATATATACATTCAAAAATCAACAGATGATAAACAGGTTAGAAATAAATTCAGTAGATTAATTAAGCAAAAACATTATATTTGTATATTTCCAAAAGTTATACTTTAAATTCCTTATTCGGTAGAAAAATAAACCCTGTACAAATTAAAATATTAAGGCCGATCAGGATGAAATCAAAGTGTAGATGATTTTAAAACTACAAAAAAAAGCCATCTAAGATTGTCTGTAGACTAGTAAACGTAACATTTACAGTAGACTTGGTAACCGACTTACTAGTAGTGACATGATCATTTGTGATTAATTGAACAATTAACCAGAAAGTTAATTATTAAAATAATAACATTTGTAAATTTGAAATATTCTACGCTTTTATTTAATATGAAAATGTTTTCTTCTAGAGTTTTCGAATACTGATACATAATTACTGTTTTATTTAGTTATCGGAAATTATTTCCTGGTAGTTCAACTGTTGTCCAAGTCATTGGATATAAATGTAAATTGGAATAAAACAACTAACGATTGAGCAGAATCCCTTAGATTGATCAGAGTTAGACATTAACATCGTTGGATGCCAGCTCAGTGGTTCAAAGGTTAGGCGTTCGCGCGTAAGACCGGAGGTCCTGGTTTTAAATCCTGTGAGTAGCAGGAGTCGTGGATGCGCACTACTGACGAGTCCCATACCAGGACGGAACGACTATCCAGTGCTTCCAGGTTTCTAATTGTGGTCTTACGATGATTCATTCATAATTTCAATGTATAAGATATTACTATTTAAAATATAATGTTATTACTGTAACTAGTGCACTGTGCAACAGCATTCTAAGTTATTAAATAAGTCATAAAATCATGTAAAGAGATATGTCCTGAGATTGAACTGTCGCATAACAAACTCAGACATCATAAATACCTAAGTAAGAAATAAAACATGTCCTAATGCAACAGACAGAGGAGAGACAGTAATTAGCAACTCAATAAACGCAAATGAGTAAACATATAAAAAGGATTACTTACATCATTTTGTTTTTTATTTATTGTATTCGGTGTAAACCTGGCTTCTTTAGCTTCACGTTGTAATAAAGCTGACGTTGATGAATGTGAGGAGAAAAACGCGGAAGATCGAAATTTCTGTCAAAATAGAAATATTAATGATAACCAGCAAATATATCAATGCACTGCTACGTTATTACTAATATTATTATTAATCCGACTACTACAATTACTACTCAAAAGTAATGCTAGTAGTAATCAAGTAGATAGATGAGTAAAAATAAATTATTACGGAACTCAGTTACTTATCAACGAATAAAGTGAAATTTACGATCTAAACATTTTGCTAACGTAATAAAAAAATGATCAAAACAAAAGAGCTACTATCTCGGTAAACATCTCAAGTGGGAATACTCTTTATTCACCATATTACGAAACTGTAGATCACTGGTTGTTCTACTCAACTTTGAAACAATGGAATATCGAGGTGATCCTTGCTCTATCCAGCAAGATATCATTAAGCATTGTATTATTGGTGTACGTTTCCGCCTCTGAATAAATCATTTAGTAACTGTTAATTCATTAGTAGAAAGAGACTGTAAAGAAGATATGTTTAGCCTTATAAATATATATGCGTGAATAAAAAGCTCTTCCCCTATACAACTTACCAATGTAGAACCAGTTAAGTATGGACTCATATCTAATTGTCTTGGAAATTTGAAATAATGTGAAAATTTAATAGGTATTTGTCGATCCCAATCAAAATCGAAACGTTTCAAATGTAAACACAATACTGGAGGTAATGAATGAATAGATAAACGTTTAACTGCACGGCGTTTAACACAACAACGTTCACAATAATAAGCATTGTCACCTTCAAGTACTTCACCACGAACGAATTGATTTAACGCTTCATGTAAATCATTAGCTTTAACAGCTAAATTAATTGCACTGAATACTTCTTCACGATCATAACTGAAACAAAAGATATATTCCAAAAATAAGGAGTTTAAAATAATATTGACAAGAACAAATTATTATCACAATAAAACAATACAATAGCTACAACAAGCTGTGATTGTACTCTGAACGTGCACAAATGGAAAGCTTATTCATCATTAAATATGCGAATTTTTTGTCGCACGAAGTGTCAACTGCTTGTCATTGTGATGATTAAAGTATTGTCTAGTCTATAAACTTGATTTCTTTATTTTTCAAATTGTAAATCATATGTGATACAATTTGCTTATAGCATATCGATTGAGTGGTAGCTAGCCTAAAGGCATTAAAATCGTGTATTATCGCGTTTGTTATGCTCGTCACTTGATATGCTTGAAACTACTACCAGTTCACCTTAGTCGATAAACAAGAATAAGACAATGAACCAGTGATACGGTAGGCTAATCTGATTCGTTGCAGCAAACTGACTGACGGAAAAGTTTTGATGTGGCCTAGAAAGTGTATTCTACAAACACCCAGCAAATACAATGATCCCAAGCACACAAATCGCGTTTATTTATACATCACAGGAACGTCCTTGGGAGAATAACAAGAATAGCATACTAAAATCACACAGAAACCAATCACAGCCAAGGATTTTCCTGGTGGGGAATGTGATATCAAGGTCAACTGATTAGCCCATGAATAAAATCCAAAATTAAGGCCTTTATCAAGCGAGTTCCGGGGATCTAACCACCTCCCCAACAGCATTATAGAAGTATATCATAAAAAAAATAGAAATTAATTTTATCCTCCCTTTATATCCCAATGATAAAAGACAAATAAAAGACAGAATTGATAGTTTTATAATTCACTTACCGATGATCACATTCATCACAGAATTTAGAGTCAAGAAATATACCTTGGTATAAATTTTGGAAAAATGGTTCCTTTTTCATTTTCTAGAGAAAATTTGGAAAAAAAATAATAAAATTAATTTTGATGTTCTATTGCAATAAAACATGAAAAATATCAAACAGATTGTATATAGTGGACAATGAATTTTTAATTATCTGGATATCAGACAGGCTTTATTATCTAGTTATAATTTTAGTTCAATCACAGCAGTAAAGTTCAGTAAAGATAAAAATTAAGTTTATGCTTTATTTTGAAAAAAATGTATGAAATTAAGGTCAAACGATAACATAGTATAGCGAAAATGGTTTAGGTTTAGAAACGAGGTAGACGTATACGTGAACATCTCATATGAACTGAAATGCACATTATTTATTGCTTCTTGTAAAATGATATTTATTGCTTTACTATTCTTGAATTGTTCAGTTTTAGTGAATTCGCAAAATTAGAGAGAGTAAATGCAACAGAGATTTTACATATTGAATGATATCTGACCTTGAAACTCAATAGTAGTGTGATATTGTCTGATATAAAAAAGTATCAAAATGCCCACTAAATAAGCTTGAAATAATTTTATAAAAAAAAAGTTAATCTTTAATGTTTCAAAAACACAATTGAGAAGCTACGAGTTGGTCAGCATGTGAAAAAACAAATTGTATAAACAAAGGTTACCAAGGTTTTGTTGAGTTACATTAACTTACTTAAGTTTATCAAAAATAAATTTTTTTCTATAAACGTTTACTCACTTTTAATTCATCATCTAACTGATCAATTAAAGCTTGAAAGAAATCAAATGCATCTTGTTGTTCATGTGGATTCACTTCAATATCAGTTGACCATGGTCGAAAACTTTTCCAAAATCCAACTGGATCATAATATTCTATTTGAGATTCAAGTAAATGACCAAATAACTAGAAAAAACGAAGTAAAAGAAAAACAGATTGATAAAAAGAGTAATGAAAATTGAATCAATTTTTTTTTTAGTTTGTAGGGACTGTTGAGTTTTCACGGTTTATATCATGAATTGACTTTTAGGCAGACAGCCAAAAAAGACTAAACAGCACCGGAAACTTATTGCTTCCTCGTGCGGGACTCTTTTCAGCAGTTCACATTCATGAGCCCATCGATGGTTTACATATTTAACTTGCATAAACTAGCGATATTGCACAACCATCTATTCATCGTCTATGCATGGTTCAGTGCACATGGACAATAAATAAGGGGATAAACAATCTCGTTTAATAGTAAAGATTCAATGATACACATTGAATATCTCATGTTTTAAGTCAGTCAGCATTCTAGATATTACAAGAGCGACGGCAACAAATTCATTAAAATGGACACATTTCCCAGTTATGTCTTGTGGTTAAAATACTGTTAGGGAAAAATAAAACAGATTCTATTATATAAGCGTTGGTATATATTTCCACGTATATTAATAAGTGTTTATTAATATCCGATGTATGAAAAATAAGCAGTGAATTTTAAAATTAAAAAAAAGAATGTTTACAATTCCTTTCTTAATATTTGAATAACTTAATGATATGATGTCGGCAAGAAGACGCGTTTCATGAATTAACTTTTCTTCTTTATTCCAACATTAAACTATAACAATTGGATTATGTCAGGTAACCGCTGATTTTAATTTAAAAACACGTTTTTGTGAATAATTTAAGCATCGTTAGAATTCATTTTCTTAGGATTATGAATCCAAATGACTGTCAGTAGTTCCAAGTATGTACTCATGAAAAATAGCAGCAAAATTTTAGCAATCTGTTCTGTAATCCTACAACACATAAGAAGCACTTTAAGGAATGGATCTCCGTTGCAACTCTGAAAAGGATTCAAGAAAGGAAGCACAGGAAGACAGCAATAAAAACAGCCTGAAAAGAGCAAAAAAACCAAAACACATACTGGATACATAGAAGCAAACAAATAGGTGAAGAGAACTAGAAATAACAGGTGGGAATATGTGGAACGCCTAACCGTGACAGAAGAAAAAAGCTTCAAGAGAAAGAAATGTTAGACAATTATATGATATAACAAGAAAGCTCACTGGTAAACAGTAAATCAGAATGACCAATTAAAAAAAGAAAGGCAAACCAATCACTGAAATGCAAGAACAGTAGAGCAAGCAGATCGAACACTTTGAAGAGCTCATGAACATACCAGTTCCTTTAAGCCCACTGATCATAGCGGTAACACCTAAAAACGTTCTAATAAATGTAACTTTGAACAGTCGAAGAAATCAGCAAGGCCATCAGACAAATCAAGAGTGGAACAGCAGCCGGAACAAACGATTCAATAACTAATATGGTTCAAATGCACTGGTTATGGCTTCTCGCAACAACTACCTCATGGAGATGGTAACATAGTATTAATGATTGATTAAACTGGTTTCGCAAGATTATGAACTATGTCAAAGAACATTCTAATCACTAAATAATCTAGCCGAGATAAAAAAAAATCTACAAATCAAATCACCAATAGCAGTACATGCTATTTTCAGCAACCATCATTAGATTATGATAACAATTATGAAATACTTCAAAATGATTCTTCCAACAACAAAGTAAAGCGAGTGGCTGAAGTCTTCCGTATATATTGATTAACACGAGTGCGCTTAAAAGAAATGAAGGCCTAAAGACCTACCTAACAAAGACAATTTACCAAGAGATCTATATATTTAACTCAATTCACATCTCGCACCACCAACAAACTGGTATTTCCAACCCTACCCTTTCATGTTACAAACATCACATTTTCCATATCCACTAAAATATAAGCCAATATATCTCACAGAGCATCATTTAGACCTGAATGATATCATAACACTAACTTGGTCAAACCTATTTTGATTGTCATAAAAAAAGTATTCTGCTCCGCTTCATTTCTACAAAATAAATTTCATTAAAAACTAGGTGGGTTGATTATCACTCATTAAAAGTAATTAGTCCCTTTTGATACATTTGGATAGTGTAAAAAAAGGCGCATATAACCATCTCTTAAAAATTTGTTTCTATTCACTGACTACTTATCAGTAGTGTTGATGTTATTCTCTTCTTTAAATGACTTCATTATCAATATGATGGAAACTACAATAGATTTGAAAATATTTGGAAAAATATCTTGCTTTCCTTTTCTTATTATAAAACAATCATTTTAGGGATTATATATTATGTGAAATTTGTCATAGTAACATTAACGAAATCAATTTTGGACATTCACAAGCTGATATGTAATCAGTTCATGTTTATTTTGCACATCTCATGTAATTTCAATTTACCAAGGGATTATTAAGCATGAAATCAAATTTGTGTCAATTAAATTCGTTGATTCATGTATTCTTTAATCCAAACTAAAAATGATAAACTAACTTTTTATCCAAAAATCAGTAGGATAAGTGAGTGTAATACAAATTTGTTAATAATGATTGATTTCATCTATAACTTAACAGTTCTTATTCAAATTTCAAAATTGTCTCTCAAGAATTCATTCGTTTGACATAAAATATTTTATACCTGCATCAATTCAAATTAAATAGAAACGAATGGTTGTACATAAAGAGTTGTTTAAAATTGTGCATACACCTCCATAGTCTTCATAATTCGCTTAATACAAACTGTATCTGTAAATTTTTATAGCATATAAACTAAATAACTACATTATTATTAACAAAAAAAACAAATGATGACAATTAACTTTCCCAAGACAAAGATGATACAACAAGGAAGTAGTGATTAAGATTCTCAAAACGTGTGTGCACAGGGTGATTGTCATCAGTGTGAAAAATGTAACTAACAATAGTAATTAGACTTTTAGTAAGAAATGTTTTTTTTGTTTTCTGCAACTAAATATGTGTAGATTAGTGGCTTCTCAATTATCAGCCGCTATCATTTTCAGTATGACAAGCGTTTGTTCTATTTCAATTATCCAAACAGATTATAAATTACTAACTGGACTTATAGATGGAGAAAAATAGCAGAAGGGATTTCAGTCAATCAAACAAGACATACAACTTCAGCATCGGTTAAATTAAAACTGTATATTATAATTGCTGCAGTGATTAGCTTTCAAAAACAATACCTCACTCACTTTTCACATTTAAGTCCATGACAATCTTATTTGAAAGAAATGCGTGCCCCTTGTCTTGATAATTTCAACTGGTGTGAGATATTTTGTCGAACATTGTATTGTAAACTACTGCACAATAATATTTTTCCATTTAAATTAGATTTATGCAGGGATAAAATATTATGTCATACTAATGAATTCTTGAAAGAAAATTTTGAAATTCTAACAAGACGTGACCAGTGGATTTCAACCCTGTCGGGTGTAGGCAGTAACTACCGATGAAAAATGGGTGAGGTCGCGCAAAATACCTAGATTAATCCGAGTGAGATATTAACACTATTGGATGTCAGCCCAGTGGTCCAGAGGCTAGGCGTTCGCACGCAAGACCGAAAGTCCTGGGTTCGAAACCCTGCGAGTACCAGTTGTGGATGCGTACTGCTGATGAGTAGTCCCGTACCAAGACGGAGAGCCTGTCTAGTGCTTCTAGGTTTTTGATGGTGTTCTAACAATGACGGATTGATGATTTCTGTATGCACAAACAATGATCTCCATAACTTTAATTGTTAGAAAAAAGTAATCCTCATGTTAAACTGACTTGTTGAGTTTGAAATAGAATATTTTTCTCATCGGTATCATCAGTATCGGTAACAGCTAACAATGTTTCCGGTACACCTGGTTGCATAAACAACTGTTGTAACACTGAATTCATATAGCATGTTGCACCACCATTACGTAAACCGACAAATCCACATTTTGCACGTCCAGCTACAATAGGCTGCACATCCCAATGAACACCAGACTATAATAATATGTGTAAATAAGTGAAAAGCATTAAAATATTCAAATTCAATAGAGAGAAATCTAATCAAAGAATAATTCCAAGTTAATAAAGACTCGTCTGAATAAAATGATGAAAGCAATAGAATTCACATGATACACTTATCCCAATCAGCAAAGGAATGAACTAATCTTTGGAAAATGTCCAGTATAGATAGAAGACAATATTCAAGTATTCACAATCAAAGATTGCGTAACAAACAGAAATTTTATAATTTCTTTTCAAAAACAGAAATATTTCACAAATAACTCATTAATCAATCAACAGAACTGAAAATCTACTTCAAGAAATACACAAGCTCTATAGTAACAAATAAGTAGCATGTTTTAGTAATCGACAATTTTCACAGAATAACAACAAACGCTTTGAGCAATACACAGTTACATATAGTTATTCTGTGAAACAGTCTCCAGTTCTGTCTATCGATGGCTATCCCAGATTTATTGAGACTTATACAGTAAATCCACCAATGAATTAACTAGAATGTTTGCCTAAAATAATTAAAAATTTGTGCGACAGAGATTTTATTAAGCGGTTTAATCCAAGAAAACCGTCTTGCCCCATTCGAAACTCATCGGCTAGATGTACATGCTTTGAAATTTTTATTTTAAAACTATATTACTTATTAGTGATAAGGATTCACTTACCTTTTCTGAACCTCATTGGTTAACTTAATTAAAAAACGAGCTGTGTACCTATTGGTTGAAATGTATTTTGCAAAGGCAGTAATTTTGAACCTGTTATTTTCACATTTGACTACATAGCGATTGACTATTATTGTTGTCTGGAATTCAAACTTTATTCTGATGAATCTGACAGCTGCATTTCAATGCCTACATCCAAACTTGAAGCCACCATCTTTCGTTATAAACAGTATTACGGTATCTACTACAGTAGTGAAGCCAAATAGGCACTAGATCAAGTAATGAATAAGGCGTTTACATCATTGTTAACGAAGGTTTGAATTATGCGTTGTTAATATCGACGATTGAAATTTGACTAATATATTTAGCTACATATATGCCGGATACAAAATGCTGACAAATACTGGTCAAAAATCACTACTCAACATCACAACAGTAAGACATTTAATATTATTATTATTATTATTAACTTACTTTTCCTTCTATAATTGGTATTTTACTAGTTGTATGTTTATGTAGAGATTTTTCTGTAATAGATTTAGATGAACTATGATCAAATGTTGATCCAGATGATGAATGAGTTGAATTAGGCAAATTCGACGTTTGTATATCATCAGCTGTTGAAGTAATTTGATCTGATTTATGTGAATGATGTAGTAGAATTAGTAAATTAACAAGCTAGTCAAAATAATAGAAAAGAAAAAAAGCCAACTTATTGAAAATCAGCGGTTGAATGTCAGTTAAATTGATTGCTCTGTCCGAAACAACATGTTCTTTATAACACAATCAAAAGTCAATAGGTATCACTTTCATGTTACCACCGGCTGTGTATACAAATTCGGATATATTTAAAGAGGAAGTTACATTGGTAGAATAGAAAGAAGGGCCTATATACGATTCGAGGAACATATTCCAAAATGTTTGAAATCAAGTTGACTGAAGGCATTCAGTGGTGCGATCTCAAGGCATCTCTCTTCTTGATACAGGATATCAAATGGATACAGTGAAGTCTTTCAAACAGTTTAGTAAATAATCGAGTCCCCTTATTCAGAAATTTTTTGAAGTTGTAGCCATCAAACGTCTGAAACTGAATTTAAGCATTCAAAACGAAACAGTACTAAATGTTTCCTTAACCTAATAACATTACATCTACTCTACTATATAACCTTTTATTTCAGCTTTTTCTCATGTTTTGCATTATTTTATCATTTCATTTGGCTTCAACTCTCAATTCTGATTCTAATTGACTGATTTTCAACTCATGTTACTTTTTATTACCATTAATCTGATCTCCGTCACTCCACTACACAGCCAGCTAAAGCTTGCTAACTCTCCGATTTCTAATCACCAGTTCGATATTCTGGAACTTTTCTTCTCACACTTTATACAACTGTAACAGAATTTTTTTGAGCTTATAAACTTTATTGGAAACCTTGCAACATCATGATACACATATTTATGTCGCTAATCATTTTCATATTTATAAGTATATCGATTTCTATGATAATTTTGATTTTTAAAAGTTCTAGTGAGAACTTATATGAATAAAATGAATTCATATTATTCTGTGCGCTAATCCATGTTTTTGATCTCATCAGTATAATAAGGGGGAACTATGTGCATGAAAATCATTATTAGACAGTTTACAGCCAATTTTCCGATTAGTATTAAAAAGTACCTATTCAAAATCAGTGAGTTTGGGTAACCAAAGATACCTACATCAAATAAAACAATTCAATTTTATAATATTTTTACAATCAGTTAGTCAGTTACAACGTACAACTTTGTACGTAGGTACATCAGTTCAAGTTACCATACCACATTAGCACACAGATGTAATTGTCAATTCAAATCCCATAGTAGTAGATGTAGTAAAAGTATTAGCAGTAATTGGGAAGATTAAGGTTTGAAGATATTATTCAAAAGGTAGAATCCAGTGAAATGAACTTAAAAAGAAAAGAAATAAAGTGATGAGTAATTCAGAAGGTTAGGATTTGAGAAAACACAAAGAGTGAATGCACCTGCGCCATTGCAAACGGTTTTGAGCCATGTCATTCAGGGTCTCAAACCATCGATTACAATCATCTTGCGGGCCCCAACCAGGTGGTAGTTAACGCCTACCAACATGACTCGATCTACATTTAGCGAGTGAACTGTACCAAATTAAGTTACTTGCTGATACAAAAAATTTTCCGAGTAAAGTAATTTGTCTAAAATATTGATTTTTCCTTTATGCCAATGGTAGGTAATGATCAATCAAAAATAATTCATATCTACAAGTACCGATCGTGTTATCTACGTACACCTCGTACATCGTTTGGAAGATTAATTGACAAACTCCTAATCAGAGATAAGGTAGCTCATGATTGCGACGAATCACAACTTTGTCAATAGTAGACATTGAATCTCAAGTTAATTGCGTGTCTTTCAGAATGTTAACCAACAAAATTACATTTAAAAAAAAAAACAAACATACATACTGATAATAAAAATGACTATTTCAAGACAATTAAAAATATTCACTACCTTCTCTAAACTTTGACAATCTATTCGACATATAAAACATAAAAATGACAATGATACTTCTTTTGTCATAGGTCGAAGACTGTTGAATACATTCACTTGTGGTAAGTTACAATTTTTATTTAAAATTGATAAACTTTTTCGCAGACGTTCACGTTTAGACAATTTCTTATTCAATGGAGCATATAATAATAAATCTTTAGCATTAGCATCGGAAAGTAAATATCTAGCCGCTGGAAATAAACATTCTACAATAAGATAATAAATAAAATCTCTTGCTATTTGTATACAATCAGTTGCTAATTTTAACACCACAGATGAATGAATCGGTATTCGATTTTCCGTGAATTCTTTGCTTAACATTATCGATTGATGATTAGTTTCTTCATTGTTAATGACAAGTTGATTTGAATTATTGATTGCTTTCAACAATTGTATTGGTGGTAACAGATGATTAATGTTAGTGAGAAATTCATGCTTCAAATAATTCAGTTTGTTATTATGATTATGATTATGATTATTATTGTTAAAAATGTTCACTAATCCAGATGCTGGTTTATCGATATTTGATGTTCGACCCCCGTTGGATGAGAAATGATGATTCATGATTGTACACTGGCAATGACTACTAAGACATGCTATGACTTGAGCACAAATTAAACGCACTGAATCTAAATGGCCAGCGAGTAGGCAATCATTCAGTATTTCATTTTCATAACATTGTACATTATTATTATCATCAAAATCCATCAATTCTTTAAACCATAATAAATCATTCTATGAAAAATATACAATGTAAAAAGAAAGAAATTAAATATGTAATAAGAAAAAAAACGATAATATTATAAAATAAACAACAACACTCTGTCCGAGGAATGTGAAGCAAATAAAGAATTATAATTTATTCGTTAAACTTGTAGTGAGTGCTGTTATGTCTAGCCCACAGGGCTCGGTCCTAGCTTTTCGACAAATTAATTAGCCCACTTGTCTTTTGACCTTGGCAGTCATTCCCTCATATGTGCGTTGCTTTTACTTGTGTGTGTGTGTGTACGCCTATCTTGCATATTGCATGTCTGGCTTACTTGGTGTCTCACTAGATTTGCTTACTCATGCTTCATCGAGCTGAGTTGGCTCAATCGTCTTCTCAGCTTCACTTTGCTTGTATAATTTTAATTATCATGTCTGCATGAACGATTGTCTGAAATAAACTTAGTCAACCGAATCCGTATTGGGCTTCTTATTACCACCATTGCACAAACGGGGTTCGCCTAAGTGTAATATACGGATACTGATGAGGAGATTTATTTCATGGCATATTCAAATGTTCATAAATATTGGGTTGCGGGCCACCAAATTAGTGAGCCCTATATCAAATCAAATACCGAAACAAACTGTTGGACATTTATAGTGGCTACTAATTTTTCAATAAGTACGATGTATACAATCATTAGTTAAACGAACAGCATGTTTCATGAAATGAAATGATCAACTTATCATTTTTTTTTCTAATAATTGAAACAAATAGTTTTCAATATTGAAAACACTTAAACTTTTATGAAATTGTGACAAATAAGAATCAGTTTTAATAATTTGTAAGAAATGCAAAAAATAACACACTCCATATATTATCAGTTCATATTATTAAAATGGTAATTCTTAGACAACTTTATTTCCGTCCAACAAATTTTAGCTTATAGTTGGATAACTAAAGCAGATATGTTACGCGTAATGTGTTTGTTTATTGTGATATTCATATAACATGATCTTGCCTTAAACTGGCTAATTGTTTAGGTGAAACATTTTCATTTGTAGAACATGTGAAAATGTCGATTTTAAAAGAAGATTATGTAAAAACAAATGGATAACAATAAAATAAATGAGCTAACAGTTTTACTGTTATACAACTTCATTAAAAAAATAGAAGAAAACGCATGTACACCATAGAATCCTATTAGTTTATAATGTTTAACAATGTTTAGTTAAATTTACATTCAAAATCAACATTTCATTATAACAATCATTTTTGCATCAAAGAATATAGCCAATAACCAGTTAATTAAATAAAAACTCACTTGAAGAATAGTAATATGATTTGTATTGAAATTTCTTTTAAGAATCTGAGGAGGTGTTTGACCAAGTAAAAAGCCACGTACACGAAAATATTCTGCACATTGACTAATTAGAATTTTTACTGCTGGCAATGACATAGTGTTGAGGAGTTTCACATCGAAAAATGGTAATGGTGTATCAAGTATAGTTTTAAGAATAAGATTTAATATTTCAGGATGACGAATATAACCATGAAGTGAACAAATTGAAGAGTAAGACGAATGCGGAATAGATGGTGAATTATTTCTGGTATAACAAGTAGGACCAGTGAAAAGGAAAGGTGATACAAGAATCAATAACTGTTCCAGTTGTCGAGCCATTTCATTTCTTATTCTAAAATAAATTGATAAATTAAATAATCAACCATATGCATGAGCTTATATATATGTATATACCGTGAAGAGTGCCTCGACATTGGGTTAGGGTGCTGATAATGTTTTTGACTTAAAGGCAATATCTAGGCAACCCGCACAGGATGCAAACATATGCCAAAGTGAATGATCGATTAAAGTCCTAAACATCAATGGAAAAGTTCGAATAATCAATACAAACGAATAAAACTTCACGCCATCACACAAGCCAGTGGCTATACGGACCCAGCAACTAAGTGGATAACGTGAGGACATTTGGAGCGAACGGTACTGTGTACGAGTCCGGGAGTGAACACCGACTCAGAGGCGCTGACGAGTCCCAAACAGGACGAAATGTGCGTCCTGGATTCTACTACTAGCCACCATCCATCTAAGTTACTTACACCTATGGTTGAATGGCAAGATCTTGTGATAAACAGTTCAGCTCCAAAATTCACAAAAAGTATGTAAATTGCGCGAAATTTGAATTTCACTCTTTTGAATTACCTGGTAGACGATGAATACACTAATAACTGAATAAATTTATTCTCCAAATTTGTTGAATTCAATAGAGCATGAACGAATACACTTGGATAAGCAACGATACATTGGAAATATAATCGAATACACTGTACACTGATCTAAAGTAGCAGAGAAGAAGATAAAACGAAACAAAACGAAGTAAGTAAACAGTGAAAATATGTTCCGTTTAAAAATAAGGTGTATCCTAGAAATAGGTATGCCTCCTCTATGAGCGTTGACAAGTTCAGCTGCTCCTGTGGAGATAGCTATATCGGGCGTACTACCAGGCAGCTTAACCAACGAATGAGTGAACATCTCCCAGCATGGTTTAAGAAGGGTCAGTCAAAAACAATACGCAGTTCTATCTCAGCACACCTGGTTGGTAGTGGTCATATTGTAGATAAGTATAGATATTTTCAGGTGATCTATCGTATGCCTCAATCATTTCTCAACGGAGTTCGATCCCGTCTCCTACACATAGCAGAAACCATAGGAATTCGTACATTCAACCCCAATTTACGTGTTCAGAAAGAATTCGTGACGACCCTATCTCTTCCGTGGTCGAATGTGACGTATCTAGCGATTTAAGATTTCAAAAAATTTTCTTCTTTTTTTGGTTCAAAATTTTATTTTGTTATTATTGGCATTATTTTCACATTTTGTATTTGCTGGTAATTCTCTGCCTCTTTCCGTTTATATTCTTCAATATTTAATTACGTACACACTTCTCATTACGTAATAGTTTTAATGTTTTGTAATGATTATTTTAAGTCTATTTATCCACGTTTGACCTACTACTGATAAAACTTTTGTTATCGTATTTTATAATTTTCTTACTACTATCAGTACACCTATCTTCCGACTATCCACTTGTACTTCTGCTTATGATGTGCAGTGACGTAATCTACTTTATTTCATTGTGATTATTGACTCAAATTGCCTTGATTGGTTTAACATTTTCATAGAAATATATACCTATAATAAAGTAAAGCTTGGTGACGATCTAGTTTGAAAAAAATATTGTTCGCTTATATGTGTTGTTCTAATTTTCACAATGGGAATCTTTAATTTTCATAGAAATAGGTATGCATAGTATATATGATTAACTTACCTCAACATCTTGAAATAAAATTTTTCGTCCAAAATAAGAAATTTCTTCAATTACACCAGCAATACCTGATTTACTATCAACATGTGGTAAAAACATGTATGATTTATGCACAGATGAATAGTAAAAATTATTTGATAATTGTTGTGAATTTTGTTTTGTTAATGTCGTAGCGGAATTAAGTAATTCTATGTCGATACCAGCACTGATTAGAGCAGTTTCTAATAAATTATTTAATAAATTAAATGCTAATGAAGGAGTCATGTGATAGACAACTGAATCAGATGGTATAGTATATAATGGTTCAGACAAAGTATTATGAACTGAAAAGAACAACAGTAAGAAGATAATAATCACAGATTAGTAAGAAATATTATCAAAAAAGAAATAGAATAATACTGATGTATGGCAGGTGAAATTGTTTCACAGGAATATATATACATATGGATGTTCGAGAAATCCATAGAAATCTAATTAGTTAGTGATAAATTAAAGTTAGAAGGTACGTCCACATATTTCTCAAACTTAGTGTAACGTTACATGACAATTTTATTCCCAGTGTAATATTGTATTGTGTTTATACTTAATGTAACATTTCATTCAATAGAATGTCAGTCTATATTCAACATGACATTTTATTGACAGTGCAATATTTTAGTGAATACGAAAATGTAGTTATATCTTCCAGTGTCTCATAATTTTAGATCAATGTATTTTGCAGTTATTTTTAATTTTTGTTCGGTATGATACATGTGAACATCAGCCCGGTGTGATAGTTATATTCTCTGTATTATTCTGTATAAACTTCGTAGGTGTTTCACAGTTACCTCATGTGTCTTTTCATTTATATCATGTTTGTTAAATACTCATCAAGCTTGTGTAAAGTCAGTGTATAAACAAGTGTATTTCGTTCAACATCGTTATGTTGTGGAGAGCCAACCAATCTTCATTATTTACCTGTATGTGCGCTTTCCTTTAACATTGTGAAAGCTGAAAACGTTCCCGATTCCAAGTATAAGTAATAAGACCGTTGAGAATACAGTGAAATTACTTATTTTACAGAGACCGGTGCAAGAACACTAATAACCACGTTATTACTGTGCAAGTTTAATAAGAAAAATTCGGATTATAATATATTTTTCTCAAGTTACAATTACACGTCAGTATAGAGCAATCAATAATTAAGACATTTGATATCTTTTTTTAAATAACAATATAAATCAATAATGATAAATCCCTAAATAAATAAATCTCGCGATAAATTTAAACACAATGAGAATAATGCAATTCACAGAATAAAAATGAATACGTTCTATATTTCATGGTTTCTCATCATCATCATCATCATCACTATCAAATTAATAATCTCAACCATCAACAAGATAATGTATGCCATATTCTTCTAATTTAGGTTTCATTTAAACTTCATCAACTAAAATATGTCAAAGATTTACTTAGAATCATATTATACTACTCTGTATGATTTTAGGCAGTTAGTGGGTGATAAGTGAATTTTACTGCTGTTACTCTGTTTAAATAATAATAATAATAATAATAATAATAATAATAATAATAATAATAATAATAATAATGATAGAAAAATATTACTTAAATAGAAGGGAACATATTTATGTCAAATATTTAGAATGAATGAATCAATTGATCGTGATGTTATTTATTTTGTCATATATTACTTTGAGTTTTAAAAATACTTAAACAAATAGTCAGCACATTTAATGAACTGAAACAATCTCTTGATGGGGCTTCCTCTGATTTTCTAGCAATCAACAATATTGGGCTAGCTAACAGAAAATTATTTGATAAGGAAAGAGATGAGCACGTATGACATATTTTTTTAAGAGATTCAGTCGGCTTTTCACACATTCATCGGCTATTCCTATACCTGCATCAACTAATATTCGCACAACATTGGGAATGAGAATACAATTGTTTCATCTTACGCCTATCTTTACCATACGAAATAGTTCATCTTAGAAAAAACAGTTCGCACTAAAAGAAACCACAAATATTTTTTAGATTGCTCTATGACGATCTACAAACGAATGCAGGTAAAAGAGCAAGCAATAAAACCCGGCGTAAGAATTGAAAATATGTGAAGCCAAGTTAGAGCATGTTTAAAAGTCAAAATTCCTTCATCGTAAAACCATTTTTGTTGATTACCAACCAATGAAAATATAATGACTCTTACCAGTCGTTTTAAATTCATCACTGTTCACTATAGTGATTGGATTTAACAATGAAGCTATCAATTGTAAGCACAAATGTCGCACTTCACGCCTCCACCAGTTCGCATTATCTGTCGCTGTGTTCGGTGAAAAATCACATGGGAAGAACACATTTTCACCAGTAATGATTTGACGATGAGCAGCATTATTGGATCGGAATGCAAATGGAAATGCAGGGATATGCTTTTTGACCGAAGCATTAGACTTTTGAGGTGATCCAAACGATAAAGGAATCAAATTTCTCTCAAGTAATTGAACTAATGCTTGAAGATATTCAATAAGTGGAGCATCAGCAACTAGACTCAAATCTTTTGGTACTAAAAAGTTAAAAATCAACAAAATTAATGAATATTAATTCAAATAAATATGAGTGAAAACTATTCAAGTTGTAAATATGTTGATCAACACATATGAGCAGATTAATTTGTTAATGTGATTTTACTGGATAGGCAAACGTAAATTTCATTCATACTAAATCAATTTGTCGAGTGAACTGTGGAATACTGCAACAAGTATATCATGCTTTAGATTATAGATATACGGAAAAAGAGAAAAAAAGTCATGAATTATGCATAAGTTTAATCAATCCTGTGATTCTGTTTCTGTACGACAACGTCAATAGCCATATCTCATTTTCTACTACTGAAATCACAATAAGTAACGCACGCTAGAACAAGAAAAGTGAACAAAATCAATGATGTGTGAGATTCAGTGGTTACCTTATGACTACAGAGTAAACAACATTTATTTAACGCTTCATTTGAAAGTTATAAAGTATTAGGCTGAGTAGTAAAAAGCCATATACAAATATCAAGCGAAATTTATATGACACTAAACATGTTTAGTTATTTCTATCAATCAGTTAAAAACAGATATTGAATTGTTTCGTTGAGATCATGAACTGATCAATGTTAGAACACCGCTGGAAACGAGTCCGCAAGCGGGAATCGAACCAAAGATCTACAGTCCACCTCGAACGCTCGAGTTCCTGGTTTATCGCTTTACCACAATCATTGCAACAGTTATTATTGAGAAAATAAGATTCAATAAACGAAAAGCAAATAATTGTACTATTGAACATCGTTAGCACTAGCCTTAAAAAGACTATCATTTACAGAGATATCAATGAAATTCATAAGACTCGCGAAGTTGAACACGAAATAACAAGGAAACTACATAAAAACTCAGTAGAAATAAGTGACAATGTTAGCAGTGCATAGATTGGATAGCATGATTGCGTTATTGTATGCTGATAGGCTCTTTCGTATCCAATCAGCGCTAGTCGATACTGGGGGAACATTCTAGAATCTTCTCATGTATTAATCTATAAATATACTAACGTTTTGAACTTCTGACTTCCATCTAACCTTGTTAGTGGAATATAATCTATTTCCTGTTCAACCGTGTTGAGATTTTGGGAGAACGTCTCCAGTGGATTGGTGTCCAAGAATACTAAACATTAGGAATAGTTGGATTGTAACAAAGAGAGAATTATAATAGACTGGAATGTACCAGCCTAATTATTTTGAATACTTAGTTATAACCAATAATATTTTTCAAGCAGCTTATGGAAAAGTTTAACATATGTGATGATATGAAGAAATATATGACTCTAGTGGGTGTTTTCAAAGGTGTTGTGTTTACTGAACTGGAAAGATGTGGTCGTCGTCCGAGAAAATATCGTTAGTTCTGACCTCAACTCAAATTTAGTGCTTTGGAACCATTTCATATATGTTATTTCAGACCTTTCTGATAACTCTGAGCAAGACAGCAGCTTTAGCATCAAACTTGGATGGAACAAAAGTTATCCCATAAGAATCAAGTAAATCTGTTCTGAATATTTTGTCTAAAATAACAACAAATGTTTGGTAATTAAACAATTCAGCTTATTAAAAACTTTCCTTCTCTACAGTACAGCTTGACAAAAGAAAATGTTTGAAAATTGGACTATTATGTTTATCAAAAACAAATCCTTGAAGAGTTAAAAAGGAAGTTCACCATTTGAATGATAACATTTTTGAGTATACTTTTACTACAAAATATTATATAAAGAATATACACAATTTTCAACATATATTAACTTTCAAGTCCCAATAGACGCAAGAGTAACATGGCTTAAAAGACATTCTATTAATAACGCGTATGTTACATAAAAACTTAGACATAATCAGTCATAATATAAGTACAACGAAATTCATTTTTCCTTTAAAACATGTTTTATCTGACTATGAGTTATCAATTACAATTAATAGTAATAATAATAATAGCCAATCGGCTCTAGAAAATCAAGTCAAAACGTACCATCTTTGTGAGACTTTCCTTTGGAAGAGAAAAAATCACTTGAAGGTACGAAGGAAGTTAACTTTTTTAAATGACGACGTGAAGAAATCACTGGTGAAGATGGTGCTGAAGTTGAATTCGTTACTTGTGAATTTACATTTATTGCATCAACTGACAGAAACCAATTAGATTGACGATCTTCATCTAGAGGTGGAGTACGAGAATGAGAAGATCGTCTAATAGTTGGATTTGATTCAAGATTACTGTTTTCCGAAAGAGATTCCAATTCTTTGTGAGTTCTTGAAATAACAGACACTGGAAGTGGGTGAGATATTAAGTAAGTTGAAGACGGTGGTGAGAGCAAGCAGCCTGGAGAGATTTCCCACCATGGACTTGTATCTAGAGGAATCAACGCAGAACTCAATAGCTGAAAATAAAGATAAAGAATTTTTAGCGACCAACTTAGAGCGACTGGTAGTCATGACCATATAAACGATCCTTGCCTTCAGAAAGACTAATTAATTTATTTTGCTAGAGTCCTTATCCAGACATATTATTATTCGCTTATAATCTTGGCTGTATCAGTATATGTAGGTGTATTACTCTATTCATCAAGTCTTAATTTTTCCCTCTGACTATAAATAGTAAGTCACGTTTCATCAAATGGAATTGGTTCGCTCACCTTCTCCGTATCACTCCGCATTCCGTTTCCCCGTCTTAATGTCTGTCTGAGTAATCGATTGCATGTAATAAACTCATTCAATTTATGCAACCAAGCGGAAGATTTATATTCGTGGCTGTATTATCATTCGTCCACTTTGGAATCAAACAACAGACCACTAACAATGATTAGCTTAACATGACATCAGTAACATTGTTGTTTCATGTAAAGATACTCTGTTTTGTCATAGTCTCCTTGTATGGTAGTTTATGATCTTCGCATAAATGAAAAATTATGTTACTCAAAATTATTAAACTATGTTTTCTCCATTCTCAGATTACCTTCTGCCTAATTGTGGAAACATTTATCCAACTGATATATATATATATATATATATATATATCCCTAATCACTCATAACTGCTGAGAAACCAAAGGATGAGATTTTAGTCTTCCAGCCTAATGAAATTCATTAATTATTACAAAAGCATATTGTTTGAACGATATGGACAACTTGAAAGTCTGATGTAGACCATACACATTCAAGTAAAAACGGGTAAGAAAATTAATAGTAGTAGTAAATAAAATATAAATACAGAAACAAAAGGATGACACAGGCATAGAAGCCTTCAAGCCTACAGGGACACGATACTATAACGAGAAAACATAATTGATCGTCCAATGAATCTATTATTCTGACCACCGTGATATTAGGTGCATAATAGATTTGAAAATTTACAGCTGATTAGACAATTCAATGCTTTAGTTCTTATTTTGAAATTAAGCAAATATAAAATAATAACGTGTTTAAAACTAAATCAAATTATTATTATTATTATTATTATTATGTAAGAGTGGAATCAAAATGAAATAAACTTACTTGTAATTTATATAAAACACGACATGGGGAGGCATTGAGAAGCATATGTGGATTACATACTAAATTATATTGTAAATGTGTACCACCACTACTACCATTATGCCCACGACGAATTGTTTTATACGTTGGTAAACAGGCTAATAATAATCGCACAGGATGAAGAAAACTAAATGTTGATGGAAATTGTGCACTAGCAAACGATAAATTTATTGATGATGATGATGACGATGATGATGATGTTGATGTTGTTGATGAATGACCTTTTTTATTTCGACTGCTTGATTGTGTTGAAAATGATGAATTAAGATAAAATAGTTCCGATTCAGCTAATTCAAATAAAAGTTCATAAACTGCTGAATCATTTGATAAACAAACACTTGGTAGAACTATATTAACATTAGTTGAAGTAACTGTTTGGTTCGGATTGTTTAAATCTACTGATGAATCAGTTAGTATTTGACTTGCATTTAAACTAAGCACAGATGCATCTCTACTGATAAGATGATTCATTTGTACTGTAGATGGTATTTCGAGACGTTTACGAAAATTACTTAAAAAACCCGAAGATTCATCATTTGATAAACAAGATTTTTTTGAAATATTTGTAGAATTATTTAAACATTCATTGGTCAATTCCAAAGTGGATGAATAAGGACCAGCTAATGAAAATGAACTATTAAAAGGTGAACTATTGGATAGACCTTGTATTGAGACAGCAGTAGAAGAAGAAACTACACTTATATTACTAACGCGATTACGTACACGATTGTTAGATTCTGCATAAAATCGAACATTCAACTGACGATTAATCTAAGAAAATAAAATTAAAAAAATTAAACTCAATAAATATTAAAAAGACATCATTGATTTAAAGACGACTGACAGAAATGATACTGAATATCCAGACAAATTTGTTTGTGACCGATTTGGTCTCGTGTGTTGTTACAGGTATGAGGGCGGTTGTCACTTACCGGTTGCCCACACCGTGGAACGGTGTTTCTTGAGGAACCTGAAAAGGAATGTAGATTAGAGTTGGTCTTGGAGACCTGGGAGCGTGACTGCAGAGTTCAAGGGACAACTGCTTGAGGCCGGTCACGCACGGCCTTTTTATGAAAGGTTTTTCGAGTATTCGTTCCACTCTTTTAAAAGCCCTCATTGGGCAGCCCTTACCGCCGGAGACGGAAATCCGTCAAGTAAGGTGAGATGTGACATTTTTATGGTCAACCTTTTCTAACCCTTTCTTCCTTGTGAGAAGGGAGCGTCGCTGCAGATGCTGGTTGTCCGAGGGAAACACCATACTGCTGTCACATCCCTCTGCAGTCAGCAGAACGACTTCGCCCTCAGACCTTGAGTAGCTGCTTTTAGTCTCATCGTTCTCCAATCGACCTGCCTGGCATGGCAGAACCTTCAGGAACATATGTTCCAGCCAATATAGCTCGGTTGGGTCATCACGATGGGCAAGCCCGACCACACGTCAAGGTAACAGTTACGGTCGGGATACTGATTATGCAATCCTAACTATTTCAACTTGAAGATTTCATAAACATTTCTGAACTATGATCCAAGTTGTACAATATTACATTTAAAAAAATTAACAATTAGTGATTCTAAAGTTAAACTAACTTCTACACAAGTCTAAATTGTTGCTAATGAGCTAAATCATCATAGGATATTATTTGATCAACTAAACTGAAAAAAAAGTTACGCTATACAATTCATACATCTAGTAAAAATATATGACTTACTTGAAAACCAAGTTCACCAATAGGTTTGCGATTCAAAACATTATCTAAAAGCTCATAGGAATTATCTTTACTAACTGATTTCACTTCATTTCTCTGACCGGATGTATCATGTGAAAAAATAGTCTTTTTGATCGTTTGATTCGATTCACGCAGAATCGAAATTTTCGGCTGCGGCTCTTTCTGAAGCGATAAAGTAGCCATTGTCCACGGTGAAAATTGACCAGTATCTTGCTGATTATTCGATTTCGATTGACAATTAAATAAATATGCAATCGATAAAAGATTAGCTCTTTCTCTAACTGAACTAAGTGGTTCATTTGAATGTACTAACAATGACATAGATTCATGATTTCCAGAGTATTGTGAATCGTTAGAACATGTGGATAATTTGTTTCTTGCCTGATTTTCAATTATTGGCATAGGATTAGTTACAGATACAACTGGTTGTCCTTGCTTAACAGTTTCAATATTCAAGAGTAAATGCATATCCCAACCTCGATAAGTACAACCATGAGGTTTCCAATTTGGATACTGAGCACGGGAACCAAACATTTCATCCTATTTTTTTAAGAGAAATGATAGATCAAGCTAGCATGAATAAAATGTAAATGAAATGATGGAAAAGTTGGTGACGACAAGTGACGGTAAACAACTTTTTCAAGCTAATCAAGGAAAATGATATTAGAAATCCGACTGTTAGTGAGACTATCTCGGAAAAAGATGTTGCTTTTGTTCATTCTCAATCCAGGAGATCGGATCAATGAACAGAATACTTTAGGGAGCTGTTCAGCTGGTCTTCAGCCACTCCTCGGTTATTCACGATTGTCAATCAACATAAATTGTAGGTTTATGTAAGTCATCCGACTCTTATTGAAGTTGGGAAGGCTATCGGCAATCTAAGGCGAGGGAGTGCAGCAGGACCTGATAGATTAATCCCTGAGACTTTTAAGGATAGTGGTCCAGTTTAGGAAGTTAGATTAATGGGGGTCTGAGCAAAAATCTAAAAACTAGAAGTAATCATATCTGACTTGTCTTAATCTCTGAGTGTCCCAGAGTCCGAAGGCTACGAGAAGCCAAACAAGAATATGGCACAAATCTATGAAGTCGTTTACAATTGGACTGAACCATGTTCACAAGTGTACACTAGCTAGTTTAAGTCCGTTTGACAATCGTAACAGGTGTGGCTTAAAATCATCCGAAATGGTGCAGTTGCATCCATTCTTTTTAAACCCCTAAATAATAAGCTTCTGAATTATTTATGACTTCTGGGTTTACTATCTTTACGTGCAATTTATTTCACCGATTTTGTAACTCTTCGAATTAAATTTTCGATCCCCAATCTTTTTCATTACTGCTAATACTTCTCTACCTCAACTACTATGGAGTTTTAACTGACAATTCAGTCTCTCTAAGGTCTTTTGTAATTTTTTAGTACTCCAGTCACAAAAAGTAATCAAAACACGCCTAATTAACAAGTGCAATATCTGGAATGAAAAACTTCGACAGACGAAGTCATTATGTTGATGGTTGATAGGTTTTTAAATGATATATGGTGAAACTTCCAGTAGTCATTTATGCTACAGCATAATCATTTTGGAGTAAAAATGTTTAACAAATGATAAACTTACCTCAACCGATTGAATATATGCATAAACTAGACCTAATAAACGGCGTATAGCCAGTTTAGCTGCAGTACGAGTACAATGTTTTGCTTTAGTAGCAGGACCGATTCCAAGCATTAATGAAGCTAACAATTCACCAGTCTCTGCTAAAACTGATGTGATTCCATATTCTGTGATTAAACCACGACCTAAAGCGTAATTAGTCTGTGATAACAAACAAAATAACAGTAAGAAGGCTGGAAATAACTGTGAAGGCAAGAAATAAAAGCAATTTAAACTATTAAGTTTTTGGCTAAATTTAATTTTACCTCGCAAATATATCTGGTTCCGATAACGATCGTATTAATAAACGAACAGTAGTCTATTGACACTTTTTTCTTGCTCAACATTATAACAGTAATATACTACACATATATACATAATCCGTTCTAATATGGATATGAATGAAAACTTAATCCTGTAACCTAAAGAATGCCCGAATATTCACAATATAAATACGATTTCAAGTGGCTGGAGGCAATTGGCAGAAAACCATGGATCTTTATTTTTCGTTATCTGGGACTCGTCAGAAAGGCATATCTGAAATCCTGAGGAGATCGATGTCATATAGCATTCAAAAACGCGCCACCCAAAAATACGATTGAGGATGGTACCATCTAGCCAACTCAGTGTAGGAGTGAGATTTTTAATTTTTTTGGACAGTGACCTAAGTCGTATTATCTAGTCCTTATTGGTGTTCAGTCATAATACTGAGGGACTAAACATTAATGGTCCACAGACTCCTGGAAATTACCTGTGACCCCTTTTGCACAAACACAGTGCAACTTGATTGGAACCTTCAACGATTTGATAATATGAATATACATTATGAAACAATCATATCTGGCATACAGTTGTTAGATTATCATTATGACTGGCTGAATAATCTAAAATTCAACAAGGCAAGTGCTTTAATTTACTTCTAGTTTAAAGAGTTCAGTAGTTACATATCCAACACTAACAATTTGTGACATAATTATTCTATGGAAACAAAGTTATATAACAATAATCTTTCTGTCATGTACATCAAAACTTAATAGCCATATAGTGCAACAAAGCAATCAATTAACCAGTGAAATAATCAGGTCAATAACAAGATAAATGAAATGAGAAAGAATTTCGGTTGGAGTTGCAATAACTAAATTCTGTAGCTTAAAATTAAAAATGTAGGTTGGTAACTTAAAATCAATAAAACATAATACCACAAAACATTAATAAAATGACATGAAACCATCGAGATGAATACGAAAGTAGTGGAAATAGATTCAAACACTCATCAAAGTAGAAATTAGGCAACTATAACATGATTTGAGATGAAAGAATGAGTTCATGGAATAAAAAGCATAAAAATGATTTGAAACTTCAAGAAAAGTGAATCCATCTTTACATTTATGACACGTTCTGAGCCATGTCACGCAAGGCTTTTAACTATTAACCACGATAATCGCGTAGAATCAAAGCAAGTATTCAGCACTTTTCAATACGGCTTAAACAAACAGACAATGACTTCGCAGACTGATGCTATATTTGACTTACAACCTACTCTTCCAACGGACATCATCGCATGTCACAGAACAAAGCGATATAGATGTATAGTTGAACTCACTCCATGAATCAAACCACTGCCAACATTAATTGAATCGTCCATGTTAACTTATTTGCTCAAATATTGTTTTTTCATTTGTTTCAGAGGGCTTCAAAGAGTTCTGATTCAATACTGCCACAAAACTTTCGACGAAGAAACGAACAAGCTACTAATGAGTAGTCAATTTATTCTCAGAGAAAATCTGATACCATTAAATTAGTGTTAGATCAAACCAATAATATTGTAGTTGTATTTTTCATGGCGGAAGATGTTTATAACAGTTATAAAAATCTCTGTTTTAAGCATGGATAAAGCATATTTTGTTGGACTGGTAATATAATCTAATATCATAAGGTGTAGAAGATTTACTGACGTTATTTATTGCGAACCAAGATGTATAATTTCAATTCCAAAATATACATTTCACTAAAAATCAGTTGTTTCACCTTTTCGACTATGTCATATAACCTATACTTTATTAAACTATATTATTCCAAGTCTGGGATTATCAATTAGCATCATATAATAACCCATTTGTTTGTGTTCAGCCACTGAGACATTCCTAATGGCTGACACTGACCAAGGAAGGACATAGCTTTTAACCTATATTTAAAACGTATAGCCAATTTTGTAAATTCGGTCGGAAAAAGATATTTTTTCTCGCTTCATTCAAATCTACATACTTTTACAACCTACTGTTTACAAACGAATAAATTAGACTGTGCTAAACACTGTAGCTGGTCAAGGGCCAGTGCTTCACGAGAGGTAACAGGCCTAAGTGAGCGTTAACCACTAAGCTATGTTTTGTAATTCTATTAGTGTACTGTCCCTGTAATAGCTCAAACTAACTACCCAATAAATGACTTAATAACTTCATACTTGAATGTTTCTAGCAGAATGACAAAAATTTTTCAAATGGTTAGCGGTCCCATTAAAATGATATCTTATCAAATAATTCGGTTCAAAGTTAACTTTACATTATTTTATGAGATCATTACCTGTATTTGTACTTTTATCTACGTTTTAAGCAGTTTTCACTACTACCAGCACTAACATTTAGTTTCTACCTAAATTTCTAAATAAATCATCGGCAAGCTGACATTTATTTAGTTGCGATCATCATTATTCTGTTGTCCAACTCATTTCGAGGAACAGTAATGACACTACATGCCAAAATGTAAACAAATAGATGTACAAGTTTAATCATTTCCTGATGTAGTTAATTTATTTGAGTAACGTCGAGTAACATATGTGACACCAAGTACTGTCAATAACTTCAATGTGTAATATACCTATCAAATATTGAGCAAAGATGGTTGCATAATAATAATATGTTGATAATGGGTTGTTGGATGTAGTCAGGAGGAAACTTTGGACACATTCTTCGTGTTAGTTGGTGCTAGTCATAAAGGTAAACCTGAAAACTTTAGGAAGCTGATGCTACCTGTGAGATTTGAATCAACATCAGAGACTCCTAATGATTACCTCCAACAACCAGAAGCTAAACATAGTGCACATGAAATCAAGTCACTTACATAGAATTCGATAAACACTAAGTGATAGAAGAAAATAACATTGGTTTACTACCCAATGATCAATTAATATAATATAATAAAATATATAGTGAGAGCTTTAATGTTTTCTGAACTGGTAGGTTTATTTGTGAAGCTTCTATTGTTCTTCTGAACAAGATCATCAACGAGTACTTCTGAGTGAGTTTTTGGAATAACAAGAAACGAGAACAGTCTGTTACACAATTGCGGATAAATTCTAATAGCTCACTTCGTTTTGATATACTGATTATATTATTCAGAAAACAATGAAAGCTTCATAACCAAACTATTCAATTCAAAGATCACAACACATTCAACATTTTGAGACACAGGTGTTGTACATCATCTCGTAATTATTAATTAAACAAATTTCCCTTTGTAATAATTACCACAGTTCTATTTTATAAATATTATATATTAGTGGTCGTATCGTGAACAAGTCAGTGTGCTATTTACACTTGTTGCTGGTCATCTTTAGATATCTACCAAAAATATTAATCCGAAACCGACTTACAACATTCTGCTGTACCGATGTCACTAGAAATAGGATGACATATATAGATTATACAAATTTTTAAAACTACATTGTAAGAAAAACACATACTTCTAATCGTCGTCTACAAGTATCAAAGAAACGACGATAACATGATTCAGGATCTCGTCTTAATTTCGGTGCTAATTGACCCCAGTGTACATTTAATAAGAGTAATCTGGCTGGTTTTGCAGCGTCTGTCGGTGACTTTGCTGATGAAGATGTTGATGCTATGAATGCTCCAACCTGCTGTTGTTTCGATGAGGAGTCATCAACGCCTGCTTTACTGTCACATGATTTATCAACAAAAGTCGACTTATCTACAGGACGATTTGAATGTCCACCATCTAAGCTTGCGTCACTCGACGGCAAAGCAAGATATAAATCCCACAGAAAATCTAAACCAATTAAATCTGGTCGTTCAACGTGCTATGTGAAGAAACGAAACAAATAGATACTCATTTAAATAATTTATAACTTTGAAAATATACTTATAAAAAGAGAATGAAAGTATTTATAAAACATTTAATGCATTTTTCTAAAAGCTTTTGATCGTTTTTGATATCATTTTCATCATGAAGTAACATTGTTAGGTCATGGAATATTGATTCCATCGCCGAATCGCCAGATGTTTTTAGATAAACATAATTGACTAATTTGCTTTTGTTGAACACAACTCAGTACACACTTATGCTGTTAATATTTGATTATTGAATAAACACTTGGATAAGAAAGAGTATCTGTAGTCATGCGATTCATCATACTCTCAAGTTAACATAATAACAACACTCGAAAATACCCTTTTAATTAAAAGAGGTCATTCATAGACCATACAGAGTTCAGATTACTTGTAACAGTTAGCAGTAATGAAAATAACTATCAGATGTCATCTTATGCACACACACAAAAGAATATGATTAGTCAATCGAAAGTATTTCATTGTTATCATGCGAATTCTTTCATCGTTGTGATGTTATGAATCAGATTTTACTGTAACTACACCTATCTCTCATCGAAAGCTGCAAAATGAATGACATTGATTAAATTATCCCACTCCATTTCACATCATTAAATCCAGATCTACTAAGCGGGGTCAATCACACACACTATGAGCAAGAATTATAGCTAATACTGCAAATGGACAACGTACCCATGATTTTGCTACTTGTTTCATACGACCTTCATTCAAATTGACTTTCTCGAAAAATCCTTTGAAACATTCAAAACCTAAACAATATAACGAATAAATATGATTAGACTAAAATAAGAACTATGAAATTTTTATATTCACTTAGATAAATTATATAATAATTCAACTAACGAATATGCTCAAATGTTGTTTTATGCAACAAAAACAAACTGATTGACTGTGATCAAATTTACAACTTATACGATTTTATTATAGTTCCATTGTATTTATGAGGTGGTGGTGTTTCGTTCTGTGACCTGGATGTTTTAGTTGTAGAGCTCTCATTGTTCTTCTGAACAACATCATCAGCACAAACTTCAGATAGAAGTGAAGCATTCGAATTTCTCCACGTTTGACCTGTAGCTTGTTCTGCTAACCTCGATCTTGATTGGTTGCTGTTGGCCTTATAACTGTCGTTGTTTGCTCTTTGTTTCGATTGTATCCCCCCTTTTTGATCTGTTCCTTGATCCTATATCACCTATGATTTTCCTGACTGGTTGATAAATTGGATCAATGTCGATGAATTTGTTGATTGCTGATTGACCTGAGTACCAAGCTTCTAAAACATTCTCTAGTTTACTGCGAGCTCTCCCTATCCAGTATTTCCACATTGTCCCAATCGAATGTATGTCCATAATTGCCGGTGTGTATTGGTATAAGTGAAGAAATATTGTGGCATCTGACTGCTAATTGGTGTTCACGTAAACGAAGTTGAAGAGGCCGTCCACCCTGTCCTATGTAGTGTTTTTCACAATCTGAGCAGTTTATTTTGTAGATGATATTTGGTTTTTCTTCCTTTGTCATTTTGTCCTTTGGTCTACATAAGATTGATTGGTGATTCTACACATTTGAAACCATCAATCAATCATTGTTAAAGCACCATTAGAAACCTGGAAGCACTGGACGGCCGTTTCGTCCTGGTACGGGAACCCCTAACCATTGGACCACTGGGCCGGCATCCAACGGTGTTAATGTCTAACTCTGATTGATCTAGGTATTTTGCGCGACCTCACCTATTTGTCTTCGGTAGGTACTGCCTACACCCGACAGCGTCGAGCTTCACTGGTCACGTCTTCTCACTAGAACGCCGAAAATTTCCTCACGAAGCAAGTCACTAGTGAGCACATTTTATGTTGATGAGTCCCATACCAGGTTTCTAATGGTGGTTTAACAATGACTGGTTGATGATTTCAAATGTGTAAAAACACTAATCTCCAAAACTCTAATTTAAGTGATTCTCTTGGTTTGTATGCCACACCTATTCAAAATGGTTTCAGTAGTCGCGCTGTATGCTCCGATATATCTTTTATGTATGGTAGGATGATACGTTTATTTGTTACTGTAATTGATTTCGCTTCTGTAGACTATTTTGGACTATTTTTTGAGATTCTTTAAAAAAGCTCTAGGCTAAATAAAAAATTTAGCCCACAGGATCTATGTTACATCTACAATTAAATGAAAAAGAAATCTAACAATTTCGACACTTTTCACTGTGTAAATAACTATAACTCGGTAATTTACATACAATCATTCATTCATAAAATTGTGGTATAATTAATTTTGGAATATATCACTGAAAATACATGTATGGAAAAGTAAAGTCTATAGTTGTAGTGCCTATTCAGTAATTTATAAAAAGTGATCATAAATAACCCCACAATTCTGCTTTTTAAACAGAAATTCAATGAATTCAAACTGATTAGATGAATAATTCGAAAATTCTAAATTCTATTTTATAGTTTAGAATTTATGACAGCTAATGGAAGAAACGGGGATAGTGCATTACATTCAACTTTCAATTAGTCAAGTTTGTGTATCAATATTGATATATTTTTTGAAAAATATATAGATGTTCATAATAGATTCATAGTGAAGATAGTATTGAAAAACTATTGAGCATAGGAACATTTCTCTAATCTCAGCAGCTCGTAGAGATGAGCCATCCCATGAATATAATGAGAGTTAATTCGTGACAAATATTATCCACAAACTACTATTAAATCTCTACATTATTTCTAAAAATAGTAAGTATCAAATGACATGATCATGGGTTACTAATTAAATTATTTACAAGAGATACTGACGTGGCTCAAAATCGTTTGCAATGGCGCAGGGGCATCCACTCTTTGTGTTCTCTCAAATCCTAATCTTCTGAATTCCTCATCATCTCTGTATTTCTCCTTCTAAATTTGCCTCACTGAATTATACTTCCTGAATCATACCTTCAAACCATAATCTTCTCTATTACCAGTAATACTTGAACTGACAGTTGCGTCTCTGTGCTGACGCGGTATGGCAACCTGAACTGATGTACGCACGTACGAACTTCTACGTTGTAAATGACTGACTGACTGACAATAATGCACAACCTGCAGCACAATGCAGGTTTATAGATAAAACAAGTAAATATTCATCATAAAATGCAAAGTCACGTAGCAACCGATGAACTTTCACTGTATGCGTCGTCATCAGTATGATCTGAAAAAGTGCATTTAACTAGAACTTATAAATCTTTTTTCAACCATAAACGTAAATATTGTGAAAAAATGTGTAAACAGTAGTACTGTGGTGCGCGCTACTTATAAGTAGTATATGACGCGAGTGTAAACGTAATGTCTGGCAGCAGAAGATAGGGGAAGATCAAGAAAGGAAGAGTGGAAACACAATGGAATTTGTATGAAACGCATGAATAGTGAAATGTCAGACAATGGATTGATGATGGATTGAAGATTTGCAAATTAACCGTTTACGATATGGTTTTCCTATTTTACTGAGTAACTCTGTAATTTTCACCTGTATTCTCCTTCACTACAGTACTACTGATGCAAGGAAAATAAGCAATCGATTTATATTTTTCACAAAATAATGAAATGATTATTTCATTAAGTCTTCCAAACTCTCTAGACGATGTGTAAATCAATGACTTAATGTCAAACATCACTAGATATAAAAGACAGTGGCGATCATCGTACTGTAGATTTCTATCCTAACTTTGAATTAGAAAAAATGTATCTAAATTTGTTTAAGCAAATAAAATAGCAACTTGATTGCTTGACAATGATTATATCACGTTTAACTATTTAGAGGACAACATTTACTTTTTCTGATCTTTATCTACTTAAGACAATACTGTTTGTTAGTAATGTCTACCTACATTAACTCGAATGTAGAAACTACAAAACCTCCTATTTCACAATTCAAATGCACTCAAGTAATTTCTATCGAATATGCACATAAACCATTTTTATGTAGGACAATCCAATAACATGAATGATTAATTTACCAAACTATATAATCTAAAAGCTCGTAATAAATTGAAAGTCATTTGATACATTATTTCATTGTACAATTTTTTTTCTCCCAATTTTATACTATAAACAAAGCATTATCGAAAAAATGATGGTCTTCATTTTCATAATAACATAAATCAGGCTAGAAGAATATCATTTGATAGATTTTGACTGATCAAATAGTGACAATTTATGCAAGAATAAAACACTAATATGGGAGAGAAGAAAAAATTGGCATCAAGCCTTCAATTACTTACCAGCAATTGAACGGAATAAAGCTGGATTAGATTTTAAGATAACTTTCGTGAAAACAAATGATTGAGCATCAGTGTCAAGAAAATTTAAACAGGATGAAAACCAAATAAATGCTTGCTAAAATTTAACAGATTAATAAAAAAACAGACAACAAAAAAATGGACGTAATAAAATTTAGTTTATATCAAAGTGAGAGCATTTCAAGCTTTATATAGATATGTATATATAGTGATCTAAAAGATATTTTCGTAACTTAATTTTTTTTTAAAATGATTAAGTATAACGTTGCCTCTCATCACAACTGGCAGATCAAATGAGCGCAGATAGTGATTTCATCTCCATTCAGAACTATGCAGGATTATAATCTATCGTTAAACATATCTACTACTTAAAAACAACGAGTAAATGAATTGAACATAGGTGACACTACGAGTCACCGCAGTTGCCTTCCTCCCTGGAATTAGCATCGTGCATAGAATTTTAAACAAGAAGATTATTATTGTAACATGTAACCTGAATTCTTACTTTTCTCTACTACATATATTATTTTTGACAATAATGAAGATTTATAACGATAAACAAGAATAACAGCTAATCACTGCTGTTGAGTTCAAATCTAGAATGAAAATGATATTGAATTCATCCGAGTTATCAATATTTCTGAAAATTCTAACTACAAAGAAACTAAGAAAAATCTCCATAAACCATGAGTTTCAATTAAAAGGACTATAATTAATGGGGAGGATGTCATTTATGAAGATGAAAGAGAAAACAGACATAAGATCATTTTCATCTTTGAACTTACAAAGGCATGTTTCATTTATTATCAAATTTGTCAAAATAAATAATATTATTCTTTTTGCACAAGAAGTGTATCAAATTTACTATTTATTAAATTTCACATCTTGAATAAACAGTGGGATTTACAAATCATTTAGTAAGTAACAAGGACGTGAGTAAGACCAATATTTAGTATCCTTTTAAACATTAAAATCATCAATTAATCATTGTTAAACCACCATTATAAACCTAGAAGTACTGGATGGGTGGTTTCGTCCTGGTATGGAACTCATCAGTAATGTGCATCGACGACTCCTGCAATTGTCAGGACTCGAACCCAGGACCTTCGGCCTCTAAATCAATTCAATAATCCAAACATCAGACTCTTCAAAAGTCAGACTATAAAAGACCAAATATTTTCTATTTTTGATCGTATCTGTGTTTCCATTCAATCCAAAAATATACACTACGACTTGTATCTGTAGACAATGATGAGGGAATCGGGTTAAGTTGAACACCTACCAACACAGACTAATCAAACGAAGTTATGAATTACAAGAACAAGGAAATACAAACGTTTATACATAATATGATACGTATTGGACAAGTCAGTAGCTATCTAAACTCAGCAGCTTAATGCATTGGCGTTTAAAGTCATTACTCATGGGTTCCTATCCTACTGTGAACACTGGTGGGGGATACGACTGACAAATAAAACTAAGTATAATTGACTCCATTTTTAGATAACACACGAATATACTTGTTTATCATTGTTTTCTGGGGTGCATTTAGTAAGGCTTCTCAGAAATGATGTCGAATATTATTTTAAATCATAGAAACAGAAGAAAATACTGACAGAACCACACACCACCTACCTCACGATCAAATGGCGCAGCACGTGTTTGACCAATCAATGTTTCCCATAAAGCTTTTGCACGTTCAACGCTCAATGTGAGTTCAGCATTCCGCAGTAAAAAATTCAAAAGGTCAAAATGTCGTTTGATTACCTGAATTGGAATAGATAAATATATGATACTTTTAAATATTAAACATGTTCTATATAAAACTATGCACAAAAATAGAGTGTAAACTCGACAGAAAAATACTCTGTACGCTGACAAAATCATTCTATATTACATTGAGTGCTTTAATAGATTATTTACAGTAAAGTTATGAACAATGGGTATCTGTCAAACAGTAATTCGAAATCCTCTTGCAGTTCTCAAGTATTACAATGGTTAAAAACATGAGATGATTGACAAAGTATTATTTAAATGTTTTGATACTCATGATTAAAATGACATGGATATTTTTTAACAAGTTTCACTGGTATATTTCCTTATTGCAACAATTTGAGACAAACTTTACCAAGGATAAACATCTCGAAAAAGTGAATCTAAGCAATCAACTCATAAGCAGGAAAACACTAATGTATGTACGCATTCACTAATACACCTCATTTTTCCTTATATCTGAAAGATGGTAATGAATGGGTTATGTATTGGCGTATAGATAGAATAGAAATTCAACTGTTTTACAGTCGCACGCAATTAGTTTAGTTTGCTTGAAACTCTCTCTCGTTGATACTTTCTGTCCGTCAATCTACCAGTTGTGGAATAATGTTGACGAGAATCTGGAATTTTTTTCAATCTCATTTCTAAGCTTGGTAACCTTATTCGATCACTTATCGTACGATCGATGCTCTGTGCAAATCCGTGGCAGTTTTGAGAAGGCATGCCGACTGTGGACAAGCAGTATCCTTTCGAAAATTTCCTTTGTCCTCTCATTCAATAAAGTAGAAGCATAATATGAAGAAAATGTTATTTTTCCCAATAAATGGCATGTACAAATGAATGTTAGATAAACATGCTTCTCGAATGCATGATATGACTGCCTCTCATGCAATAAAAAAAGCCTCACACAGACAGTATAAAACAAAAGTAATTCATGAAACTAGTAGTAAATTACCATGAATAAAAAAAAATCAACTTACATCACTATGCCTGAAACCAAGTACATCTAAGCTATCTGCAGTTAAGAGATCACCATGCGATGAAATTGCCCATTTTTCATAATGTAATAAAGAATCGACAACACGAGTTATCAATTCATGTGAACGATTAAGTTCATGAAGATGATCCTTTATTAATAAACAGCAATTGAATAATCATTAAAATTATAATTCAATAAGAAATAATCACTAACTATTGATTGGTATTACAGTAAAATTGATTTTACAAGATATATATATATATATATATATATATAGAATCATGAACTATAGAAAATACGTTAGATTTACAATTCAGTTAGTTTTACAGAAAACAAAATTGGCTATGGTTACTTTTGTCGATTGGATATGGACAGTTAGTTATATTTTCAAAGGTTGTAATACAGACTATTTAATTGTAAAACAGATTTCATCAGAAAATGAAGTTAGTTGGTGAATTTATTGTTCACTGGACAATGTTTAAATGTTTAGTTTCATTGGGAAACTTTTAACATGGCTTACTATGGACTACAAATGGAACGAAATCTACAAATTCAAGGTTTCACAGACAGAATAACACATTACAATCTAAAAAGGATGATTTTGTGGTTCTCGTTTTTGTAAAAGTGTACACCTATTATCCACTCCTATCGGCTATAGATATGTCTCAATTCCGATGTGATTGGACTTTACTAGTCACGACTTTATAGAACTGCTGGAATTCACCTCCACTCTTGGACAAAATAAACAACTAGTCCTCCTTGTCTTTTCAACTGTCAACTGATTAAAATTAAGAACAAGAATTTATCTCCAGAAATATTTTAATTATACAATATTATACTTCATTGTTATTGTTGTATAAGGTAAACTACCTCGTATTTAGATCTTTACTGATTTTAAATTGAGAAAGGAATAAATGGATAATTTTTATAGAGAAACTTCATATGAATCAATGTGTACACATAATTATCCACAAGATGACGACTTACTCGTTTAGCTTTTCCAACAAAATTTTTCAATATAAATTCCAATAAGGATTTTAGATAGGCTAACATAAAAAATGTCAGGGAATTCTGTAAATAAGAACAGAGTAAAAATTATTCGAACTTGAAGCAAAGCAACAATGGAAAAATAGGTTTAAAAATGTATGCAAACAAAGTTGTTTTAAAGTCTGTGTTCATGAACAGCTGATTAACCGGATTAAATCCTGATGAGATACATTTAGAAGCCAGAAAGGAAATGAAAACAGCTAACTGAGATCAACTATGAATTAATTGTATAGTCTGAACTTATATCTTGTAAGTTGAGAACAATTCACAATCTTTTCGACCATATAATAACGTACCAATCAGATGGAAATGACTGACTGAAGTTTAAGCTTTATTTAAAAGATACAATAGATTCGAACAACTGAATTCAAAAGAAATCCAATCATGGTTAACATCTTCCCCAACCGCTGATGATTACCACAGATCAAAATGTCAAATTTGTTGAAAAATATGACTGTTTGATAGATTAATTACTAGACATTAATTTTTTTAAGCCAGCCGTAAAACATGGACTGAATTATTACACTAAATGTGCATTCTTAACATTCTGTTTTGAACAAAATCGTAAACCTTTTATAAACTTTTCAGCACCAAACAAACAATAAAAAGAGATTCTATGATGCCCGATATGTATGGGTATTTTCATCTGATAAACATTTTCAGGTTAGATAAATCTTCGATATTATAGCTTACGAAGTGAACGGTTAACAGATACTAGTGAATTGAATTCTGTAGATATCAAATGAATAACTATCAAGACTATATAAACCCTGGGAAACTAACTCTTCGTATTATCATTATCAACATTGTACAGTACACATTATAAATTAAAAGTAATTAAAAGAATACTACTGTCTAAATAATGAGACTACCATTATGCTGTTTATTGGTGCAAGATAAACTGACATAAACAACTCCAAGTTAATTGTTTAACTGTATATTATCAGCGCTTCTAGAGTTGAAATAGACTGCATTTGAAATGACGCAAAACAGCTGATTAATGTAATCTTCTTAAAACCGAATGAAACAAATTTCATGACAATCATTCACTTTATTTATTTAATGTTAAAAACGTATTTATTCGAAAGATAGATCACTTAACAAATAGAGCTTGGCATATAAATAGCTTGTAAGTATCACTAAGAAGATTTTATTAATTATTCTGTGTCCTTGTAGAAAGGGCTGATATTAAATCTCAAAAAATCAGAAATTCATTTTTCTGTCGATTTGGAAACCAAAAATACTGGTAACACATGATCTGTTTGTCACACTGTAAAAATTAACCATACTAATACCAGTAATTCAGATTTGTTAGTAAACACAATGAATAACAGTATTCATGTTCAGAACTCGTTTGTTTCATCTTAGAATTGAATGAAAATGCAGTATACACGGGAAATTATACCCCAAAACAATTGACATATCAAGTACAAACGCACAACTTACTCTGCTTATATGACCTACAGCTTCTAACAACCAGCGCATTGCTCGTATTCTTTGCTCTACACCAGAACAATGAAATTCACGAATAATAACTAATTGTTGAGCTAAAGCTGCTTCAATCGGTTCAGGATGCATATATTTTTGAAATTCCAACGGTGCAGTAGAATCTATCGAGTCTACTTTGTGCCCATGTGAAGCAAGAATACGATCTACAAAAGTGATCTTTTGTGGTGATGACTTCTTTAATTTTTGATTTTGTCTAGAGAAATCTTTTGCTTCTTCTGAATAGTTTGAATGAGCTAAACGCCATAATAATTCTATACACATGTCAGCCGTATTAGGATCTCTGGACAATATTCCAATCCTACCAAGCATATTCAATAGTCTGGCACGTGCATGACGTATAACAGACGGTTCATCCGGTGGAGGTAATGGGATAAGGGATGCTTTCGATTTTCTATTGTTATGAGATTTAATATCAGGAAAAATTTGTGAAATAGCTTGAAGATCTAGATTCATCCAGCTCTGAAAAATTAAAGTAAATTTAAGGAATTATGTAAACACATTCGATATTTATGATAGTGCCTATAAGCAATCAATTATACAGTTGTTAAAAATCATTTGAAACACTTAGAAAGTAAATCCTAGATCCAATATATAATGTTCTTAACTACAGTTTCAGTTATGGATTAGTTATTTAGATCAACAAAAGGGGAAACTCATCGGTTTCAATCACATATTATAGTGCTAAATGTGTTGTATAATTCGGATATTAAATTTAGGGTAATTATATGTGGATCAATGGAAATTAAACTACGAGGTAATCAGTCAGTCAGTCAGTTGCAACGTAGAACTTTGTACGTAAGTACATAAGTTCATGTTGCCATACCACATCAGCACTGATGTGGTAGGATTTGAGAGAACACAAAGAATAAATGCACCTGCGCCATTCCACACGATTTCGAGCCATGTCATTCAAGGTCTCTAACCATTGGTGACTTTCGTCTCGCGGACCCCAACCAGGTAGTCTACATCTAACAACATGAGTCAGTCTACTAGTCAGTGACTTCATGGATTTCTGCCATGTTTTGGTCTGGCCGCCCCTAACTTTCTTCCCACCTACTCCTACACTACAAAACAAAGCTCGTCGAGGCAGTCGGTGGTAAGGCATACGTAACACATGTCCCAACCACCTCAACTGATGAAGTTTCACCACTTCATCTATTGATCTGCCATCCTTACCTAGTACTCGTTTCCTAACGATAGCATTGTTTACTCGGTTGTCCCACATCTATGATCGAATACTAGTAACCTACGAACATCTTCTACTCTTAAAGGCCATGTTTCGCATCCATATAGGAGAACGGAGCGAACTGCTACGCAGTACACCCGTCCTCTGTTCAGCGAACGGATATCACGCCTACGCCATAAGTGACGCAGGTTGGCAAAAGCTGATCGAGCTTTCTGTATCCGCGCTAAGATTTCATCAGTCACCAGGCTATCAGCGCTGACGAGATAAGTGAAGCAATCAACACGCTCGACTACAAACTACGATCTAATAGATTATTTGATTTACATGTACGATTCTACTCCATATTAATCAATTTACCATATGCAAATCTCAAAATAAAATCTTCCAATTATAACTTCGAAAAGACTTTGATAGACAACCTTTCCACAATATATATCGTAAAACATCTCAGATGCTTGGAAAACTAGCAACGCAATATATACATATATAATTTGTGAATAATTGTAATTTCTAGTACAGCCGACTGACAAATCTCAAGCAGGATGAAATGTATATCCTGGATTCCGCTAGAAATCACCCTCCAACTTTGGTAAAAAAATATGTGATTAAATGGGAATATGGACTTAATTCATTGCTATTCCTTCGCCAAACCCATGACCGTGGAATAAGAATAAGAAATAAAAAACATGTTAGTAACTTGAGGATCAAAAAGACTGTTGAGATTAGACATAAGGTATCTGAATATTCAAGTACCATTGGTTAGCGTCAGTGAATTTTTAGCTGACATTCATCATTTAGGATTTCCTATGAACATCTCTTAAAGCATAATGTGAGCATAAACTCATTCAACAACTATACGAATTATCATTTACTTTCGGTAGTTCTTTTAAGCGAAGTACGGTTAGTCACATAACTTCTAATCCGAAATTATTTGTAACCTACTGGTCTGCCATATATGCTTATTTGTTTATTAAATATTTTATAGAATAAGAAACTATTTTGCATTTGAAAAAATAGTACGTTTGCTAAGCAGTTGATAAGTTTTCTGCTATTCTCCAACACTTCTGATAGTTATTCGTTAGTTTCAGTTGTTCAAATAATTACTTATTTGTAGTATTTTGTTTTCTTCTGTTATAGAAGGGGTAGGGATTTGAAAAGAATTTCAAACAAACAGCTGAAACGTTCGAACTCTAGGCTCTTCTCCATAATCCGAGTTATCCACTAGTTGTAAGCACTTTTGTATATGACTCACGGAACATTCTATTTACTCTTAAATAATTTAAAATGGAACTTAAATATACACCTGTGTGGCATACAGGGATATATACACTACAAAACATTTAAGTTAAAACTAATACACATAATGTTGTAAGTACTATTTCAAACATCATTGTTCTTTTTTACACATTTGAAATCATCAATCAATCATTGTTAGACTACCATTGGAAACCGAAAGTCCCGGGTTCGAATACCGCGAGGTGCAGGAATTGTGGATGCGCAATGCCAATGATGAGTTTCATACCAGGACGAAACGGCCGTCCAGTGCTTCCAGGTTTCTAGTGGTGGTCTAACAATGATTGATTGATGATTTCAAGTGTGTCAAAACACTAATCACCATAACTCTAATTGAAAATACCATTGTTTTTATTTCTTATTGAGTTGAGATTATCATTAACCATAAAGATTTATAAAACAGAAAATAAAAATTCCAAATATACTATTCAATAAAAATGTTTTCTTATGAAATGAAGAAAGCACTACATTGCAGCAAATGGACTAAGGTTGCAAATGTGAACACCAATGGTATCAATATACTTGTTACATGGTAGTATGCTTATCGCAAGATCTATAGGTTTTGTATTCCGTAACGTGCAGTTTTCGACGTTCATTGTTGCAAAGTTTCAAACTATGACAAAATAGACGATTTAATGCTCCGCTGTATTCATCAATATTTTTCTAGTGCATGTCGACTAGTAATGAAAATTACCTTGAAAATGAACTTTGAAATAAAGTTTACAAATAGTGTCAAACGTTCAACTAACCAGTTCAACAAGAAAAAATAAGTGCTTCAACTGTGATTGAGTAAATCGAGACGATGCTAAATCTGTAAGAAGATTTAATATATTATCTACTGCTGCACTATTTTGATGTGATGTTCTATGCCATAAAGTTGTTAAATCATCATTTGTAATACGTTCACCAAGAGATCGGAAAAAATTACTCAAAGTAGCCATATATGCTGTATTATCCAATTTGTCTGAAATTAAAAATGTTCAGACATTAAAGAATATTACAAAGAATATTACAATCATAAGAATTAAGTGAATCGCAGAGTTTGTCAGATAAAAAAGAAATATCAAATCTGAACAAAATATCATTTGTGTTGGAGTCAGAAATAGTTAAAATCACAAAAAAATCTCCGGTAGGTTTATTCTACTAGCCAAAGAGTAAAAGTGGAAATTTTGTAAACCATTGTATTTGCAAATTTACTCAAGTGTCGGATTAAAAAAGGCGAATGATATTGAGGACCGAAATACTTACATCACAACACCTATCAGATGAACTGTTAAAATGTGAAAGCCTTTTCTTTAATGAGCGTTATTAAATGTTTGTAATTAAAATCAGATATTATTAGAAATACTTACGTAGCGATTTGGATATCACCTCATTATCCCGAATCCAAAATGTTAACTGATCTAAGCGTAACACTCGTCTACGTTGACGTTTAGCTAGGAAAGCAGTATTTTCTGTAGCTAGTAGACTAGCTGACGTAAGTGAAACAGATGGACGCGTTCGTTTTTGACCATTTCTATTCCAATTACCAGATGAATTATTAACATTTTCAAACTGTTTAGATATTTCTAATTGTTGTGTAAGTTCTCTTAAAGCCATCATACGTCCATTAAACGTTGCACCACCTACACCTTGTGGTGGTGATATAGCTGTAAGCAATACACTGTAATGTAATTTATCAATTACAGAAATAGAAAACAATGATACATGATCATTTAGTCGTTGATTAGAGTTGTTTTTGTCATATCGTAAGATAACATCATCCCAAGTCGGTTCAAAAACCGTGAACATTAAACCACCTAAGCAAGAACTACATTCTTCGGCCGTTAATAGAGAACCAAGGTTATCTGCAGCATTTAAATCTATCAAGCGATATGTTAACACTCGAACGCTGGTGATCAATTCAAATATCCGTGAATCCTGTTTAAAAATTAAGAAACACAAACCACATGTAAATCAGGGAATATAGGGATTGAGGGAGACAACAGGAAAATAAAATATTATTTAACAAAAATAACCAAGTTTTTTTCTTTTTATTAAATTGTTTCAATGATGAAGGGCAATAATGCAATACTTTTGTGAATCAATTAGTATATACAATAAGAGCTCCAATCGCGTACATCAGTTCAAGTTGCCCAACCACATTAGCACAGAGACGCAACTGTCAATCCAAATCCCAAAATGGTGGAGGTAGTAGAAGTATAAGCAGTAATTGGAAAGACGAGTTTGAAGATGTTATTCAAGGGGTATAAACCTAGAAAAATAAATTCGAGAAGAGAAGGATAAAGGTCATGAGGAATTCAGAAGATAAGGATTTGAGAGAACACAACGAGTGGATGCACCCACGCTATTCCTAACGATTTTAAGCCGTGTCATTCACGCTCTCTAATGATCGGTAACTATCACCTTGCGGACACCAACCAGGTAGTCTGTGCCTACCAACATAGCTCAGTACATTTTTCAGTGACTTCATCGATTTGTGAAGATTCACTACTTCATCAATTGATTCGCGATCAGTGTATTTTACACAGTTATGAATAACAGTAATAATTAAAATTGGGTCGAAATCAATTTCACCATTAACATGTTTTCATAAATATTTGTGTTGAAAGTGGATTATTTTAATGTTTTAACACTTCAAAAATCTCATATAAAAGTATTATAATTGTGAAAAATGACAACTGAAAGACACATATAATCAACTTATGGAAAGGTAACAAGTAGGATACAAATTAGTTGATTAATTTGATATATGTTACCTAAACGGTGTAAACTAATCTCTTTTCAAAAGATTCAAGGATAGATTAAAAGACATCAAATTAAGAGAACAGACAGCGCATTTAAGCATGATAAAAACACCGTTGACAGTTGGCTGCAAAGTTAGAACATCAAAAATTAATCAAAAAAAAACAAGAAAAAAGCCCATGTGGAGGAAACGAAAAGTAAAAATATCCATATTTACAAAAGATTAGACAAGTAATCAATGACAATAAGAACGCATCGTGGATTCAACTATTTATAATTTGTCTGTAAAACCCTGTTATACGTACAAGCAAGATTTTAAAATACAGATCAAATCATAATCCCATTCAAATCATTCATTTTTAAATCCCTAATTTATTCATTCCCTAGTTGGAATAAATAACTAACTGCTAACAAGACACAAAATGAACTACACCAAATGCTTAGCATAATCGAAATGAGTGCGTGTGATCAACCTATGCTAGATATTAATACAATCAAACACGTACATTTACATACCTTAACATCGAAATTATTGATTATTAGTCATCGAGTAAACTTACTCTATCTTTAAAATCCTCTATACATAAATTCGATAAACGCCAGATAACACGATACATAACCTTGACTGCATAACTTTTCAAAGTATGAAAAGTCAAATAATCACAACATTTGGCTATTGGAAGAAGAAATATCGATGTAAGCTAAATAGAAGAAAGAAAATTTTTTAGAAAACAATATGATTAATAAAATAAAACAATCAAACAATTGAATAACAGAAATAAGAATATGAACGTGATTACAAGTTGAATTTAAAAACATGAACAGTAAGTATTAGTAATTCAATTAGCTAATTTATTGTAAATTAAATTTCTTCATTGTATAATCAATTGATGTGCATAAGTGTCTTAGTTTTTGATTAACTTGAAAAAAAGGAGGGAAGTATTTAGAAGGTAATGAAATCATGAAAGTTTTAGAGAAGTTTTTACATTTAGTTTCTTCACAGGTAAGCTGAAAAAAACAATTAAAACATGAATATCGGGATATTTGAAATATTCTGTCTATAAAGAGAGCATGATGTTATTAACAAGCTTACAACAGTTCTAGAATTAGATATGAACTGTTCATAGCTAAAGAAAATTGGATGCCGGCCCAGTGGTCCGATGGTAAGGCGTTCGCCTACAATGCCAAAGGTCCCGGGTTCGAATCCTGCGAGGAGCAGGAGTCGTGGATGCGCACTGCTGATGAGTCCCATACCAGGACCAAACGGCCGTCCAGTGCTTCCAGGTTTCTAATGGTGGTCTAACAATGATGATTGATTAATGATTTCAAATGTGTAAAAATTATAATTGTTCTAAATCTGAGGTTCAGAGTTACTAATTACAATAAGTGGTTTCAAAAAGCAACTAACACACCAGTTACGTATGAATTTAAAAGCATTAACTAACATTTATATTAGACCAAGATTGAGTTGCAAACCAACTAAGTAGACTGAAGCCATTGTATATACCAAAACAATTCAGTAGATTGACAAGGTAGAAATTCCGAGGTATTGGTAATGGTTCGGCGAAGACAATATTTTCCAAATGATTTCGAGTAATCCGACTCCAGTCATTGAATGGATCTCTTTAAAAAAATAGATTAAAAAGAAAATTTTCGAACCGGACAAACATACACAAGAAAAACTTTTTTTCTATGTTTAAAACCATAGTATATCAGGGTAGAAATAAGCCACCAAACTAAGTGACACCATTTATTTGGAAAACATAACATTAGGGTATTGACCTATAATTCATCAGGGCTGACTATACAAAATATTTAGTCATATATGTTTTAAACGACAGTGTTTAAATTTTTAGGATATATCTCTCACTCTTAAAGTGCAAAGTGATAGTTCGGGACTAGTGTGAACCGATGCCTGGTCTGAACATATACAGTGAGACGCTAGAACTCTTCTTAGATTAAAAGTTACACCAATGTTAGAGAGTTTCTGGTTAACCAAATCTCGAAACAAAAGTGAGGATATTTGGATTTCCCTAAAAAAGGTTTTAAATGAGAACAATGATTTTTTAGGTATCTTAGATTCACAAAAAGCGAAAGCGCGAAATTTACACCAGTGTGGCTAATTTACGTCTAATACTCATCAATCTAGAGGAGTGTATCCATGTAGGATGCAAGAATTGAATTAAATGGTTAATATTGATTGTTACGTGAAAAGTCATAAGAGTATGAATTATGTTCAGGAATAAGGCAGTTGAAGTCACGATTTATGATGGGATGGGCTATTAGAGCGGCAGTAATACTGACAAATACGAAATCGAAGTCTCCCATCATAGAAGAATGACAACCATGTTATACTAGCGATATGGCAAATAAAAGAGTTCCATTGTTTTAGGTTAGTGGTTTATACAGGATTTCGATTTTATAACAGTTTGAGCTCAACAAGTAAAGGGGTCTACAATATTGAATAAAATTTTTTGAAGAATCAGGTTAATATCGAAATCATTTGCTACTGACTTATTTAACTCAAATATTAAATAAATATCTATTTAAAATAATGAATGAATAATAATTGCAATAGATATAAGTTGAATGTACATCCATTGAGTATAATGATCGACTTACGCATACGTTCCAGTATTACTATTCCTATCTCGACACAATTGATGGTAATTTGTTTCGCAGTCGAAAATCATTGAAAGTACATAGAAAGGTTCAGTGAATAAAAATGCTCCACAGTTTAAAACACCAATAGATTGAAGATGTTTAGCTTTCGAAGGCTGTGATTCAGTAGAATATTCTGTGTCATTATTATTGTATCTCCCAATCTCCTCAAGAATAGCCACTTTTAATATGCTCATATATTCACAAATTAAACGGATCACTAACTCCAGCATGTTGTGTACACCTTCCAAAGTATCTCGATCCCAATTGAAAACCGCCTGTGACGTCATTAGCTTTGTAAAAAGGAAAAAATGAAATCGTCAAAGCAAAACATTCGGTTGGCCCCAGCGTTCTTTTAACCTACTTTTACTCTAGCTATCATCATATGCCGAGGTAGTTAGTATGTGGGCATACGTAAAACAGGTCATAAACATTTCAGTTGATAAGGATTTAATACCCAGTCAATCGATTTACCATAACTAGCAATCTGAATTAGACTACCCGAATCGACAACATAACGGTCTCAAAATACAAAAGGGATTGTTCGAAGATATCCACAATCAGATAATAGCAACTGACGAATATCTATCTTTAATGGCCATGTCTCACATCTATATAGGTGAAAGTAAAATGTTGAAAAGTGAACTCATCCTTTAGTTGGAAGATGAATATTTCGCCTACGCTACAAGTGATTCCAGTTGGTAAAGTTAACACAGCCTACTGAATCATTGCAGATATTTTACCGAATAATAAACACATCCGGAATGATGAGACTTCCAAGATAATTGAAGTGATTGACACGCTCAACTACTTTCCTTCCCACTTTTAGTTCAGGCGCTGACACAGATCATTCCTACAGTACTTAGAGGAAGAAAAATGCACTCCAAACAAGCTTCAATTATCACTCAAGATGGTTAAAAGGCCCTACATTTTGTCAGCATCTTTAAAAAACACGACTAAATTATCTGATTGTTTCAATTTAACAAGAGAATCTCCTGGTAGGCTTATCCTTGAAAAATGAGATGATGATAATTTAAATAAAATAACAAACACCACGTGAAGTTATCACTATCAATGACAGCTCACCACAGGCTCTAACTCGTCCAGTAGTATTTGAGTAGAGAACGTGTGTAGTTTTAACATAGTTTGGCATGCTTTTGAATGACAGATACCGACATAAAACTTATCGATTTACAAAAATGAACACTGATTTAAGGTAGAAAAATACAACTATCAATATAGGTTGATAGGTATCTATGTATAACCACATAACGTGAAATATCAGCCATTGTTGTGTGACTTTTTCAACGACCGAATAGTTTAGCTCGAGCACCTAAATTTTCCTCATTATAATTTCAGTTTTCTATTCATCACCGAATGTTAGGTGAAGAAAGCTGTGCAAATCGATAGTGCAAAATAGTCCAAAACACATTGTCGTTTGAACTCAGCCCATCTAATGTGGATAATAGATTCAAACTGCTGAGCGGAGTTATCTGCATATTTTCAACGTAAACAGATGTAAATACGAGTCTCGAAATGCCATCTGTTTGGATTCTAGATCAACATGTAAGCAAGTAAGATACAACGCGCATACAGGATCCTAGTAAAATTATCAATCTGATTTCACCTTGTCAAAATAAAGAAGCAGCTCGATTTACTCTTCGTGTATCTGGAAGCCCTGATGCTGCTTCCCGGGGTCTTGCAGACGTAGGCATAGCATTGAGTCGTAGAGCTGAACAATCTCTCCTAGACTGGATCCCAGTGGATAGTCGCTTGTGCGCTGTCCGACTAAACGGGACAGTAAGGACTCGTAAAGATAGGGACACTCGTCGTTGCCTCTTCATCATATCTGTCTATGCCCCCACTGAATGCAGTTCAGACGATGTAAAAGATGAAATTTACAGAAAGCTCTCGAACCTCCTCCAAAATGTTAAGCGCTCTGATATAGTAATAATGGCTGATGACTTCAATGCTCAAGTAGGTAGACTAAGTGAAAATGAAAGACACCTAGGTGGATGTTATGGTGTCCCGGCTCAGAGAACAGACAATGGTGACCGTCTGTTGCAAGTATGCTCAGATAACCGCCTATTCTTAGCAAACACTAACTTTAGGCATAAGGAAAAGCACCTTTTGACTTGGCGACCCCCGAAGTCGTCTCAACGTCGGACCCAACTAGATCACATTGCCATCAGCCACCGATGGATGGGTTCGATAGAGGACTGTCGCTCGTTCTGGGGCACATGTTTAGATTCAGATCATGCCCTAGTGCGAGCGCGTATTTGTTTGAGGCTGACTGGACGTAGGAAAGACACCGTAAGAAAGCCTCTTAGGGTTTTACTTAATGATAATAAAGCTAAGAATATATTTCAGGAACAACTATAAAGACAGTTAGGCGACCATTTAAGCGATTCCCATCCGGAGGCAGGTTGGAATGATACCAAGAAGGCTGTGGAAACAGAAGTGATATCTGCTAGCAAGGTAAACCATAATGATAGAATGAAGCCGTGGATCTCAGTAGCATCCACCGATCTGATGGATGCTCGAAAACTCATCCCGCCTGGCTCTGAACATGATGAAGAACGAAGTCAGCTTAATCGCAGGCTGATAAAAAGCCTGCGCAACGACCGTGAAAGCAAAGGCGATGGAAAAGGCAGCGGCGATAGGCAACAGTAGACAACTTTTCCGACTCATCAAGGAAACTGGTATTAGGAATCCTAGTGTAAGTGAGACTATCTCAGAAAATGACGGGAATATTATTTATTCTCAATCCAGGAGACTGGATCGATGGGCAGAACACTTTACGGATCAGTTCAACTGGCCTCGAGCCACTCTTCGGTTACCCACGATCTCCAGTCATCCTGAATGGCAAATCGACCTAAGTCCGCCTAGTCTTAATGACGTTGAGAAAGCGTTAGGAGGTCTGAAGCGAGGGCGAGCTGCCGGTCCTGATAGACTGACCCCTGAGATATTTAAGGATGGTGGTCCAGTTTTAGCAGCCAGGTTGACTGAGATCATAGGTAGAATCTGGGAACTGGACACAATCCCATCCGACTGGTCTCAGTCACTGATTGTCCTAATCTACAAGAAAGGATAAAAGTCTTCTTCTGACTATCACAGGGGAATCAGTCTAACTAATATAGTATCTAAAATTTTGGCCTCAATAATACTTCGGCGCTTAACGAAAGCTCGTGAAGAGCAAACTCGAAAAAACCAGGCTGGTTTTCGACCTGGACGTGGCTGCATAGACCACATTTTCACACAACGACAGGTCCTGGAACACAAACACACATTAGGGCGTCCTACAATAGTTGTTTTCCTGGACCTAAAAGCGGCATTTGAGTCTGTTGATCGTGAGGTTCTGTAGCAGTGTCTGTCATTGAGAGGTGTACCAAAGAAGTACATTGACCTTATACAAACTCTCTACTCAAACACCACTGGTCGAGTGAGAGCTTATGGCAAACTGTCACCGGAATTCTCTACATCAAGTGGTGTCCGTCAGGGATGTCCACTCTCTTCATTCTTGTTTAATTTTATCATAGACATGCTCCTAGAAATAACCTTATCCTCGTCTGAATTTTCAGGAGTAGACCTTCTACCAGGAGGCTCGCTTATCAACTTATAATATGCCGATGACATAGTCCTACTTGGTGAAGACGCTGACAAAATGCAGAGTCTTCTGACTACCCTAAGCAACAATGCAAGCATGTTCGGGATGTGGTTTTCTCCCTCGAAATGCAAAATGTTGCTTCAAGATTGAGTTGCATCGGCACCTGAACTAGTGATAGGGAGTGAAGTAGTTGAGCGTGAAGACCGCTTCACTTATCTGGGGAGTCTCATCATTGCTGATGGCCTGGTGGCTGACGAAATCTCAGCTCGGATGCAGAAGGCTCGATTGGCTTTTGCCAACCTGCGTCACTTATGGCGTAGGCGAGATATCCGTTTGCTGACTAAAGGACGAGTGTACTGCGCAGTGGTTCGCTCCGTCTTACTTTATGGCTGTGAAACGTGGCCAATGAGAGTAGAAGATACTCGTCGGTTATTGGTTTTCGATCATAGGTGTCTTCGAAGCATTGCTCGTGTATCGACGGACACCCGAGTGAGCAACGCTGTTATTAGGAATCGGGTACTAGGTAAGAATGGCAGATCAATCGATGAAGTGGTGAAACTTCATCAGTTGAGGTGGTTGGGACACGTGTTGCGTATGCCTAACCACCGACTGCCTCGTCGAGCTTTGTTTCGTAGTGTAGGAATAGGTTGGAAGAAAGTTAGGGGCAGCCAGACCAAAACATGGCAGAAATCCATGAAGTCATTGACGAGTGGACTTAGCCATGTCGGTAATTGTCGACTACCTGGTTGCGGTCGGCGAGATGATAATAATCGATGGTTAGAGACCTTGAATGACATGGCTCAAAATCTTTCGCAATGGCGCCGGTGCATTTATTCTTTGTGCCATCTCAAATCCTAATCTTCTGGGTTCTTCAACAACTCTAGTTTTGACTTTCTAAACTTTTCTCATTTAATCATACTTCTTGAACAATATCTTCTAATCCTAACCTCTCCGATTACTCCTAATACCTTTACTACCTCTTCTACTATTGGATTTGAATTGACAATTACATCTCTGTGCTGATGTGGTATGGCGACATGAACTGATGTACTTACGTACGAAGTTCTACGTTGCATCTGACTGACTGACTGAAGTAAGATACAACATAGAACTTCGTACGTACGTACATACATACATAAGTTCATGTTGCCAAACCACATTAGCACAGAGACGCGATTCTCAGTTCAAATCTCATAGTGGTAGAGATATTAGAAGTATTACTGGTAATGGAGAAGATAACGATTTGAAGACAATATTCAAGAAGTATAATTCGGTGAGATAAGTTTAGAAAGACAAAGGTAGAGGCGATGACGAATTCAGAAGATTATAATTTCATAGAACACAACAAGTGGATGCACCTGCGCCATTGCAAACGATTTTGAGCCATTTGATTCAAGGCCTCATTTTAGTCCTCACAATGAGATTTAGCTTTATATTATGATTAAAAATGAATACCTTTAGTGAGATGCTTTAATTTCGAAAGACGGTATAATCTGTCAGTGTAAAATTCATTGGTTTGTTAATAACTCCTAGAGATCTATAGTACATAGGTTCGTGCATCAGTGATTAAGAAAGAAATACTCACTTCATTCAGACACTAAACGTTTTTCATCACAAAAATTCAAGAAAACTAAGAGTTCAAATACATTAGCTCTGTAATCCTTAAAATAATGCGGTTTCCATATGAATGAACCCTATGAGAATCTTAGAATTAACTCCATAGGAAAACAAAAGCCATGCAAGTGAGAGCTCAAGACCATGAGGATGAGATGAACAAAAATATTTTACAGAATGTTACCACGTATGAAATGAAACGTCTCGTAGCATGAAGCCTTCAGCATAGAGTGGAATGTCTAAAAACGGTGTCAAGTTATGTACTTGAGCAACCAATCAGTAAATTAAAAATAATTGCACGAATAAAATAACTGAGATTACGGTTAATATGACGAAATAAATTAAAGCTGGGATGAAAAACAAAAACACTCAGTCAAATGAACCAACTACCTTGGTAACACACTCCTTTAAACATGTCGTAAGAAATCGTTGGACTTCAGGGTATAAATCAAATGTTTTTAAACCATTAACCTTTAATTCATGAATAGCACCCAAAAGGCAAACACCAAGAGATTGTGATCTTAAGCAAGGAATGTCCCACTGTTCCGTAAAAATGCGGCTCTGAAGTCTATTGAACTCAAGTGAAGAAAATCCTGCGACTATATCATGCCCCACAACTAGTTTGTCGACTGGATTTGTGCTTTCATCAAATGAAATAGCTTCCGATGTTGTGTAGTCATTTTCGGAAATTTCCTTGTTATTGACCATATTCTAAAATTGAGAAGATGCGAAGTGAGCATGGACAATTTTAAAATTGATGATCAAATCACACTACAAAACATTTATTTATCCATAGTGACATATATACCTTCAAGGATAAGTTCATACTAATATGTAATATTGCACATAAATAATACCAATTGATATTGATCGTCATGCAATTGCAATATCAATATCAGGGTGGAAACATAAAAAAATTCAAGCCAATACTTACCTTATCTGTAATGAAAGAGCAACTATTTTTTCTATACGCATTTTCAGAAGCCAGTACAGATATTGCTTCATTTACATCTGAATTACATGACTTTAAAACTGCCCTTATGTTTGTCTCATCCGTAAACCCCATAGTCAAAAGTTTCTGCAAATTTTCTTCATCACTCATGGTTGGGTAACTACAATACCAGACGTCTAAACTAAAAACGAAATCCAGATCTCATCTTTTATTTAAAGCGGTAAAATTGATGATATAAATTGGCTCATTTAAACACAGTCATCTTTTGATGTGCTATACCTAGTGTGTTGGCCAGTGATGTTTCTTAACCGCATCATGCCCTGAAATAGTTAATCTGGAACGAGAAGATCTCAGCAATAGACACTGGTTGGACCAGCTATTTCAAAAATGAGTTGTAACAAGGCCAGGTAACAGGACTGTCGCTTCGTATGCGAGAGGCCACAGACCAAGTAACCACTGACGAAGGCTTTTCCACATAACTTTTTCGTTCTTTGCTCACGCTTTAGGTTGTAGAGAATCTACTGTTTGAAGAGAACGAGATTAGTTTAACAGAAGCATTTATTATTATAACCAATTAGACCAGTGATTGTTGAACTGTACTTTCTGTCTATTACACTTTGTAAGCACAAACTTTCCGTTTGTGTTGCTGCCATTCGGCTTCACTCTCTCTGTACCTTCGTCCCACTTTTCTGGCAAGGTTTCGATATTCTTCCGATACCACGAAGTCGTCATCATATATATTCTTTACTATGGAATAAACCTTCTTCTCAGTGACGCGCTCGTAATTAGTATTTAGTGGTGATCATAGTCAATCTCAACTCGATCGCCACCCAAAGGTGCAAGCCGTTGGCTCAGTAGGTTAAGGGACTGAATTTTCTGATTACATTATGCAGACCACGAGAACCGCCATTATTGAGGTTAGTTCTTTCAAAGAACAGCTTCAGTCCACAAGTAAATAATTGATGTTAGCACTTGTTTTCTTGGCTTCTAGTATAATCCTAGATGACCATCAGTCTTCCGAAAAGGCCTATCATTAAAAAAATCTTTTTGTACACGATGAAAAACAAATGACCCTTGTTGACATTGGTATCGGAAAGTCATAAGTTAGTCCTCCAAAAATCGCAGTTGAGATTGGCGGAACTTTGGCACTCATTCTTGACGCCTGGCGACACCGCAGACATTTTTCTACTAACGCTGTGATATGTTGATCCATAAGAGGTCAGAATCCATAACTCATGGGTATGGACTTCATTCGTTTAACCCCTGGATGACCAAGATGGAACTGTCTCAGCGCATTTGCACGAAGGGATTCAGGCACCACCACTCTTTAACCAAACATCAAGCAATCGTTCACGATGCATAGTGAAGCTGACACGGTTGCTTCATTTCACCATCAACCTTCTTCAACGGCCAACCGTTAGTGACATATTTCATCGTCATCTTGATGACAGGGTTGTTTCTAGAAGCATTCTGCATGTCTGTAGCAGACACCGGTAATGCCCGTATTGTGGTCGTTAGATAACATTCCGTGTGGTCTCCCACTGACACAGATGCGATTACCCTATTTTCCTTGATCATTAATGAGTCGTGACAAAGCGTCTGCCTGACGGAATACTAGAGTGCGTCGATATTGGATTTCGAAATTATATCCCAAAAGCAACAAGGCCCATCGATGGAGACGATTTTCAGAATGGGCTGGAACGCCAGATTTAGAACCGAATACTGCTAACAGAGGCTTATGATCTGTTAGGAGCGTGTATCTCCGACCGTACAGTAACTTGTGGAAACGGCAAACAGCTGTATCTCTTGCAATACCACTTTTCTGCTGGGGTTAGTGTACGGGATGCATGCATTACGGCTTTTTCTGATTAATCCGAGAAAAGACTGTAATTCTCAGTTATTAGTGCGAGTGGGCATCAGTTTGGTATCTCATATGTTCTCAGGATCTGGTCTGAGGCCGTCGGCATCAAAGACGAATCCAAAATACTTCACCGACCGCAATAAAAACTCGCATTTTTCTGGGCGTGACCGGAAACCGTTGTCACTGATGAGTTGTAGTACCAAAGTCGTGCGTTCCCGTAGCTGTTCTAATGTCTTCGATTTATAAATCAGAAAACGAAGACGAAGTGTTGAATACATTTATTCGGCACACCACAAATAGATCAACAAACTACAGGCACAGAAAGATAAAACCAATAAGCGAGTGTCCGAAGGTAAGCGAGCGAGCGAAGGAGCGAACTGACAAATTAACTAATGAGATAACAAAGTACATATATAGGAAAATGGTTGATTCATCGAAATATTCACGAGGTTAATACTTAAGCGAATAGGATGCATAAGCGCATAGGCCGTAAGCAATTTCCAGGCGTACCTGTTCATAAAAATCAGACAATACTGAAAGCCGATGGTGCATACATGTTATTGTTCTACAAATGACTTGGCTAAATTAGTCAACTAAAAAGCTTAACCAAACTAAATATATACAAGCTCAATTTTATGTGGATATACTAAAATCCTAGTCACGGTGGAACCGATTTCAAGTGCTGAATATCTAGAAAAAGACACATTCTAGGATGAAAATAGATCATAGACATCGAAATAGGTCAGCATAATGAATATAGTATAGGTCTCGAAGCAGGTTATGAACAACCAGACAGTTTGAACAGTTCTGTCGGTACCATTAGAAGTTTAGTGTCAGATTAACCAGGTGCTGCCGACTATGTGCCTAGCCTGAGCAGAGTCCTAAATCTATGGGGAACGTATAACCCATACAACTGTCGCAACGACTGCGGAAAGGTGCCTAAATAGTCGCTTCTTTCTTGAGAAACATATATCTGACGGAACAATGTTTTACATAAAATATGCGAAAATTTTCGATCTTGTCCGAGAACTTACATGCCTCTTGTAATACCTTGTTATTTGTGAATAAACTATTCACGTTAGAAACAGAAATTCTTGCACAAAAATTTTGATGGACATAGGTTTTGCACTGACTATAGCCCCGCAGAACAAGACTGAACTAGGTCAAAAAATATATATATATATATATATACAGTTATACCTCAAGCAGATAAAAAACCTAAAATCTTGACTTTGAATCAGAAAACTTCAACACTAGTTCTTGGATTTAAGTGGCTGATCTCCTGGGTGTACTCTACAAAGGATCTAGATCTGAAAATACTCCAAACAGGAATTTTTATTCAACACCAAATGTCGACGTTTAAGATTCAAAGTGACTTTGTATTACACGAAAAAGATACAGTACAAATCATCCTTCTAAACTTGTTACTCAGTCCATCAGTAACAACTGCAAAGCTCCAGGATGCACTGGCGGAATTTCCAGACCTGACCAAATCTAGTCCTCAATCTTCCAAAGAACTGAACATTAATCTTGCAATCAAAGATACATATGTGTTCGTTAGGCTAGCCTCCGATGGGCTTAAAATAGCTAGAACCGGATTCGGCGTTTTAAATTTGAGTATTATCCGTCCATTTAGTAGCTAATGAGGATTATAGCAGCACACGATCACAAAGAAGAACAAGTGATTTGTGACCATGAGTGGATTATCAAGCTCTCAACCGTCAGACCGTACCAGTTGGGTACACAACACTTCGTATCTAATGTCTTAAAAACAGGTTACAGTATATTATCAAGCTTACTGAGATTCACATGGTCAAAACATATCTTGATAACCCTGCAGCCGAAGAAGATATCACTAAGATCGCCATTGCCACTTAATCTCCAGTATTCGAGTGTGCACGCATGCCATTCCACCTTCGAAAAGGGCCACAAACATTTTATAGATTTATGTACAATTTATGGCAATGGGTTACTGAGTGTCATATTTCTATGTCTTCTTTTTGTAGACTCATAGTTATTATATATTTTAGTATCCCCTACTTATTGCCAGTTAATTATGTACTGTTCGCACCACTCTGTGCCACTTGTGGAATGATTTGTTGTTGCTGATCAGTCCCATACCAGGACGAAACGGCCGTCCACTGCCTCCAGGTTTCTAATGGTGGTCTAACATTGATCGATTCATGGTTACAAATAAAAGTAATAACATTAATTAAACCTTCACATGCGTACAGTGACATGTGAGAAATAGAAAAGTAGGTGTAAATATTTGTATGTCATGAAAAGCTCACCATTCTATCGGAGATTAAATGTTAAATCAGCTGAAAGTGGAACAGATATAGAGTTAATGACTATTTGAAGATGAAAAGAGGTAACTTGTTGAATTATTTTGGTTTGAGGAAACGGGTAGGGAGATATTCAAGCGAGCTGCCAGTCCATTTTTAAGTGGCAATATCTCTATGCTTAAACGTTTTGAAATTTGGTTTTGTAAAAGCGCAATACAGGATTATGCTGGTTATGTCAACGGGTTTATAAAGGTAGTCAAATAATTGCGTTAGGTTTCCGAAATCAGCTGCAAGCACAATGCAACGAGGTCCGCATATAAAATTGTTTGTTGCAAAACATAAGTTATATTCCCCTTGAAACGGTAAGAATTTTTAGGATTTGTGCGATGTGCTTCAATGGCTTCCCTCTAAATTCTTTGCAGCTTCGGGTAAATCATGGGTTTTATCCGAAATTTGTAGGGGCTTCCTCTATCTCAGGTGAAATCGTGGATGAAAACACCAGACTGAAGGAATTTCTGTTTGCATCAACTTTATATTTTTCAAAAATTTACAATCGGGACTTTCCCGAAATCGATAAATTTTTTCCCAACGTTACGGTGATCGCGAAGGAATGGTGCAATATGTGAAAGTCATTTATTGAGATAAAAACTATTGTGAATGTAATTTATTTATGTTTTATGTTCCGAAAGAATAAGAATCGAGCGCAAAGATATCAATCGGTTTATACTAGCACGTGAAAAAGATATTGGATTTATCCTGCAGCGTTTCTTGCTTAGTTGCATAGTTCTCAAGGTCGTCACTGTGTAGTACTTTCTTGTTCGTATATTGAGCGTCGAGCTTAACATGATTGAGTATTTTCGTGTTTACTTTTGTTCATCAGTATTATCTAGAGTTCAAATCACCTAAAACTACTGTTTATATTGAACTTAACTTGGGAACGTCCCACTAAGATGTTTGTGTAATGGGAACTTCTAAAGTATGTCTAACGAATTGCCTCAATGCCTCTGCTTCCGAAAAAGTTCTTTTTGTCATAAGCTTATGTACCATTCTTCTGGGTTTTGTTCTTATTTTTACAGGGGTTTGTGTTACTCAACTTAATGGGGGACTAAGTGCTCATCTGTCCATTTCTTATTCAGCTATTCCTGTTGTGTTTGCTGGCTTCATTGCACTATTAATAGCCATTTTTCGAATAGTTTCTACAAGAAGAATTTTGAGGGAAATGGATTTGACTGTTTGCGACTTTAGAAAACAATGGAATGAAAAAGAATCAGGTTTGGAGCCGATTTCGAATAATCTTCAAGGAAATGCATATAATTCATTTTCTGTTGTAAATAATTCGCTTAGCAACTTGAACTCCAACTCGTTTTCAAATAATAAGGTAGAGCATCTCCCAGTACCAATAACAAACTGTCATCAAAGGTTACCAATGCCTCCTAGACGAGCTGTTTTGTATTAAGCTCGAGCATTTTCTATGTCGGAGTCCTTCTTTTTAGAATTTTTCATTATTTTTATTGCCATTCTCCTTTCTGGAACTTCTCTGGATGTTCCACAACATATATATATATATATATATTTGTTCCTAACTTTCCATTTTTACATTATCATTAATTCGCTGGTGATAACTTGATAGAATAAAGTAGATTAATTTCATACACTCCAAGTCGTTCTTACTTTCATGTTTGCCCTGTTCTATTCTGGAAGTTCTACTTGGAAGAGTTTGTATAGGTTTCTGCTCTGATGATGCCCTCAAGTCAGGGTTTCGGAGATATGCTTAGTCTTAGCTGGCACATATGCGTCATGTGGGAATTCCGTCATTATAGCCATTACGACACAAGTTTATATACAGTAAGTGGGAATGATTAGCAGCGGAACCCATGATGCACGTTTTTTTCTATTTGATACTTGCCATCCTTGGTGCCAACTGCTTTCCATCTAAACAATTAGAGATTAGATTGTAATTTTTATCCATTGCACAAGCGAATGGCTATCTGAACTTAGTAACTAAATAGATAACGCGTTGGTATTCAAATAAAACTGCAATGGTCTTCAGTCATAGAGTGAACAATTGTGCAACGCATGTACATAAAGCTGATGAGTCCCGAATAGGACAAAAGGTGCATCTTAGATTTCACTGCTAGCAACTTTTCATCTGCCCCTCAAAAGATTTAATAGCTCATTGAGATCTTTCACTACTAAGTGGTTCTTCTCTTTCGCTAGCTCTAACTTAAGTAACTTTGTGAGTCATAACTGGACCAAGAGGAAATCATAATGTTAGGGTTATGTTAAAATTATTGAATAAGAAATATAATCCTGATATCTTTGTTTCAAAAAAAATAAAACGAGGATTGCTGTTATAAGCTAATGCTGAATAACTAAGCCAATACTTCGTGAATCATAATGCATTGTAGTTTCGAAGACCAATGATTTTACTCACATTAAAGTCTACTTGGACGAGTTTACACTATGATAAATGTATCCTTGACGTATGTAAATAAGAATCATGGTATTTATGGTCACTTTAGTACTGAATCTGCGGGCGTTGTTTTACTTCCCCGTATGGTCTTATTTTCTGTCCTATTTTTGTACTTTGAAAATATACGATCCTAGCCGGAAATCAGTAATTATATCTAGCACTTGAGGTTGTCTACCATAGTAACTTTATGAAATCTATCAAATCTCATTCCACTGTATTTCTATGGTTTTATACTACATAGATAATATGATGTTTTGTTCTTGCCTACTTCCCCGGTTTTGTTGCTTTATCTCATGATCGATTTGCCACTCTAATTCTTAGTTTCTCCAGTCTCCTATCAGAAGGTCAGGTAAATAGTAGTAATTGCCTTCTTATTGTTTAGAATAATAAGTAAAACTCAAGACCAAAGGGAATCATAAGTTATTGGTTTTAGTAACTGTAGTACTAGGATATCTTTAATGAAAAGATTAATATTATATATTCAGCTAACTCCAATTTATGCACGGTAGTACATATGGCAACATTTGATGGCATAAAATCCGTGCTTAGTTGGTGCTGACTCAAAATTTGCAAACGAATTTAAAAATTAATGATTACTCAAGTTTGTTTTTACTCTGTGATATGTATGTCCTAAGGTTGGTTGAACTGTATATTGATTGACTTGTCATGGGCTGATCTTTACTTGTTGACCTTGAATATACAGTGAGGAATAGGATACTAGGTCAAATATAACGAATTGGTTCGTGGGGTAGTAAATCATCAATCGAAGTGGCTGGGACTTTTATTACTTATGCTGAGCCACAGTCTACTTCAGTGGCTGATGTCTGGTGTAGAGTTAGGTTGGAAATGAACTAAAACATGGTACCATTTTATGTAGCCAGTGATGACTGACGGCCTTATTTAAATGACAATTTCTTAGAATTTTATTCGTAGCTATCACAGGAACATCCATAGGTTGACTCATGTAAATTTAAAGAACCTATTATTGCAGGTTTTACGAAAAATTACTGATTTCTTAGTGACTTGAAATGCAGTTTGAACGGAGCTTTACTCCATTGTCTTCCTTCATTCTTAGTTTTACAGCCTTAATGACTTTGATATTAGAGTATATGGATAATTTTGATCGTCATAAGCTGGTAAGATGCGTCTGGTCTACTACAAGGATATGCGATTGTTCTGTCTTCTATCTAATGCCCCCTTATCTGAAATTCAGAACTGTGCTCTGATAAAATTTCAAACTGTCTTTTAATGAGGGGTCAGAAATAACCTGTTCCAAAATATTTTTAAGCGAGCACATTTACTAAGGTATTCTGAAATAACTGACTGACCCATCTGACTAGTTTAACCCAGTAACATTTTCGTTGTATTCCATTATCACTTGTATCATCGTTCTGTAGGGAATTAGACTAGCCATAGATAAGGGGATTGTCTCTCTGTACTATGATATCTTAAGCGATACATAACTCACTGTGTCTTCATTCAATAATTTTACCTAGGAACCTAAAAATACAGGGTCTTAAACATAATGCCTGTTCAATCTGTGTCAGTGTTTACGAACATCGGTGTTTGGTTTATTCTACGTTGTTAAGTTAGAGTATATACAGAACATACGTGCACAATGTTTTGCATCTAAGTTTTGGTAGTCCCAAGGGATTCATGTGATGAAGTTATGACTACTGATTTCTAGTATCCACAAAATATCAGCATCTGCTTTGAAGACTAAGTTGGTATAGGAGATAGTCTTAAAATGCTAGATACGAAAGATGATTGACAGTGAAGGGGTTACAGATTTCTTATAGTTCATTTTTATAATCCTTGGAAAATGTTTACCATAGTCTGGCTACATCCACTCAATTTTAGACTAAATACTGGATGTATTTTGTACTCATGCAGTCATAATTCACACTAATCCCATCACTTCTTTTTCTCCAAGAAGATCCTACAGATGGATTGCAGTGTTTCCGTTCCATGTAGTGAGTCTCATTCTAGTCTTGTTAGTTTAAGTGTTAATTGCACTATGTTTGATCTGGTTACTCTCTTGGTACGAGATTGATTGAACCACTTGTATTTTAGGAAGCAAGCCATAATGAATTAGGTCTGTTGGTAAATTTACTTGCAGTGATATTACTACTATCTAGTTACTGAGTAACTAATCTAAAAAGAAGAAAATATATCCAATAGAATAAGGCACGGTTTGAGAAAACGTTCTGACCAATAAAATCCTTGTCATGAACAAGTTTTTCCACTATGGTCATTTATTTATTAGCTTGTCTCCAAACGGTCAGGCAAAAGTATTTCGGGCTAATTAGTTACGAATTTCCTAAAATTTTGAAGTCATTTCAGTATTAAGTTATAAAACCAGAAAGCTCTAAATTGTTGTGAATAGTGTAAGCGACTGACCATTACATATGTAACCCTACTTATCGACGCAGTGTCCTCGAGTAAGCTATTATCAAAAGACAGGACGGCAAACCAAGAAAAGTCTTTTGAAATTCAAGTGATTGTTGCTCCTGTAAGGCCTCCACATATATTTCAGTCCGGTTACATTTAATTTGGTTAAGCCCTTTCAATTAATCTACTTAACCAAGCCATTTGTGTTGCGACAATTTATATGTACCATTCGTTCTTATTATTGTTTGATTTGTATGAGCTCACATGACGTGTCTCACTTGTCATTTGACCTTGTCGCTTTTATTCATGTGTGTGCATGCCTATCTCGTTGTTCACATGTCTGTCTTATTTTTGTCTGACTATATATTCTTAGTCATGCTCTATTTCTTGGAGTTGGCTCATTAGCCTTCTCCAACGCTCTTTGCCTGTTCATTCGCCCATTCGCTCGCATTGTAATCCTGGGAGTTGGCTCATTAGCCTTCTCCACACCGCTTCATACGATTCGCTTTAGTCGCTCATTCGCTCGCCAGTGTACACAATACTCCTAACAAAACATGGGAATCCAAGTGAGGGCTTGCCCCATGGTGCAGTTGGGTGGCTTCCACAATGTGTCCTATCCACATCCAGCGCCTTTTTTAATTTCTTTCTCAGCTGTAATCCGGTTTTCTTTCTCCCACAGGAAATTGGTGCTAGTTTCTGGCTAACGATTGAGGAGTATTTTGGGTAGATAACTGTTAATAAACGCCTGAATCTTTAGGATGATGGCTTTGGTAGTTCTCCATACAATGGGACTGTCTTTGCGTTCGTATTGAAAATTGTGACTAGTGTTGGTTCATAGTTGTCTTAAGTCCCAGATGTTCTTCAGCTATAGAAATGCTGCCCTTGTTTGCTAATCTGTGTCTTTATAGCTGCATCAGATCCACCTTGTCTGTCGATGATACTGCCCAGATATGTAAACGTTTTCACCTCTCCCAAATCTCTATCATGTGTGATTGGGTTGGTACGTGTTGTGCGGCACCGGAGGAGCTTGCCTTTTGCCTCCTGGTGCAGAATCTGTTGCCTCACTAGCCGTCTCCACCTGCATTTGTTGTTGTGTGTGGGATAGAAGAGCTAGGTGATCTGTAACGTCCAGATTGTCCAGCTGCATCCGAACTGTCCACTGTATTCCCTGCGCCTTCTGCGATATTGATGTAGATTATCAGCCAAAAAATTGGAATCAGACTTAATTATTGCCCGTAGGTGTTACATTATAGTTTAACATCCAGTAGAAAATAATCCATTTTTGGACGATTTATCACCTAATCAATAAATTATAATCTAGAAATTAATATCAGCTAACGTACATTCTGTGTACGACTACAGCATAACAATCTTCCTTTGTTATTAATGAGTACCTAAGTATGGTCATCAGAAAAATAATTCACCGTAAAAGACTTGTATTACCGAGTATGATCTCACAATAATCACAGTAACAATAAAATTAAATGATGAGGTTTTTTATTTTTCGACCAATCATTTTGTGTGAATAATGACTCATGATTTGATACGAAAGCAACCTTTCAACAGACTTGTAATAATATATTGTTCTTTAACTGGTGACAATAAATATCTAAGCAGTATACTGAAGCCTCTTCATTATGACCCAATTAATTTCGTCAAGGGTTTTTTTGAATGTATATCAAAATCTCGGGATTGCCGATCAACGAGAACGAAACAATGCTTTGCTGTGATGTATCTTTATACATTAGTATTCCAGTTCATAGGTGTCTGAGATTTACCAATGGTTTACT